GGTGGTGGCGGTGGCGGCGGTGGTGTGGTAGTGGTGGCGGTGGTATGGTGGTGGTGGCGGCGGCGGTGGTATGACGGTAGTGGTGGCGGCGACGGTGGTTGCGGTGGTATGGTGGTGGTGGCGGCGGCGGTGGTTGCGGTGGTATGGTAGTGGTGGTGGCGGTGGTGGCGGTGGCGGTGGTGTGGTGGTGGCGGCGGTGGTATGGTGGTGGTGGCGGCGGCGGTGCTATGACGGTAGTGGTGGCGGCGACGGTGGTTGCGGTGGTATGGTGGTGGTGGCGGCGGCGGTGGGTGCGATGGTATGGTGGTGGTGGGGGCGGTGGTATGGTGGTGATGGCGGCGACGGTGGTTGCGGTGGTATGGTGGTAGTGGCGGCGACGGTAGTGGTGGCGACGGTGGTTGCGGTGGTATGGTGGTAGTGGCGGCGACGGTAGTGGTGGCGACGGTGGTTGCGGTGGTATGGTGGTAGTGGTGGCGGCGGCGGTGGTGTGATGGTGGTGGTGTGACAACGGTGGTATGGTGGTGGTGGTGGCGGTGGTATGGTGGAGATGGCGGCGACGGTGGTATGTTGGTAGTGGTGGTGGTGGTGGTATGGTGTTGATGATGTTGGTGTAAAAGTTGGAAAATGACTTCCCCCAAAAAAAAGGGGAAGTCATTTTCCATAAAATTGCCTTCCTTTTCCATTGACTTCCACCCCATTTTCCTTTGACCAGTCATTTTCCAATGTAACCAAACACCAAAACCCCGGAAAATGACTTCCAGAAGTCATTTTCCAGGTTTCCAAACACACCCTAAGTTATGATATACTTGAATATTAATTCGATTTGATTATCACGTGATAAGATTTTATTCAAAAATTCATCTCGAAACATAAATTAACTCCAAAGTTTATTATTTATTATAACTATATATAATTGTCAACTATATAATAAATTTAAATATATATCATCACAATGCTTTTTCCATTTTCCAAACTCTCATGGTTTGTTAGGCTTTGTTTGCAAATTAAAGCTAAATGATGCCTTTCAAAAAAAAAAAAAAAAAAAAAAAGAGTTCAAATTGACCACCGAACGTAACCTGAAAATGTAATTAGGCTACTGAACGAATTGAAAAAAAAATACAATTAGATCATTGAATACGATAAAATTATGCAATTTGTACACACTAACCAGCAATAACAAGTTACTTACAGATAATTAGTTAAAATTTTAAAAAAATTATTTTAAAAAAATAAAAATTAAAAAAACAGGTACCACCAGATCCATGAAGGGATGAAGGCAGCGGCCATGGCTGCCTTCATCCCTCAAAAGGTTTTTTTTTTTTTTTTTTTTTTTTTTTTTTTTAATGTAGGGATAAAGGCAACAGCCATGACTGCCTTCATCCCTTCAAGCTTAAAAAATTATATATGAGGGAATGAAGGCAACGACTATAACTACCTTCATCCATTCAAAGTTATTATTATTATTATTATTATTATTATTATTATTATTATTAAATATCTCTTCAGGCTTTAAAAAAAATATAAAGAAATGAAAGCAACGGCTATGGCAGCCTTCATCCCTTCAATTTATTATTATTATTTTTAAATAAAGGGATGAAGGCAGTAGCCATGGCTACCTTCATCCCTTCATGAATCTAGTGGTACCTTTTATATATATATATATATATATATATATATATATATATATATATATATATATATATATATATATATATAAGTTTTTTTTTTTTTTAAAAATAGCTAATTATCTGTTGGTAACCTGCTATTGCAGGTCACTTAGAACAAATTGTATGATTTTACGATGTTCAATGGTCTAATTGCACCCTTTTTTTTTTTTTTCATTCAATGGGCTAATTGCACATTCAGGGGCCAATTTGAACGTTATTCTAAAAAAAAAAATCTAAATGCTGAAAAATTAATAAATAGCTAGCTAATTGAAATTAACGTGTTTGGTAAAATTAATTGTTGAATTAGTTGATAAGTGCAAAAAGACATAAAATGATAAATTAATATATTAAGATTTTTATTAATAAATGGTAGATGATGTCATTTTTGTAAATTAATAAAGATTTTAAAAAGGAAGAAGTTAAAAAGTCAGATCATAAGTTTATTTTAAGCACCCCATGTTAATAGAATCATGTATTTCACCGACTATTATTGGTAATAATTGTTGGTGGTATGTAATATTGACACTTAAGATGTCAATCTTAGTCCAAAATTGATGTACTAATACAAAAATGATCAAAATATTAAAGTTATGACCATAAATTAAACACAATAAGAAAATCAACTCGATAGCATGAAAACGATAAACTTGATGCCCGCTGAAAGATACTCTTTAATTTGTAGACACCTGTTTAATTGAGCACAACCAATAAATCCGATAACTTGATATTTTAAAATTAAAACAAATAAATTTTATCCCATAATAATTAACGCGATTAATTTGGATATATAAACTCAATTACTCAAGCAAGTTAACTTGAAATCGAGTAGGTTGGCCTAAATAATTAACATAACTCTCTATACTTTCTCAAATATTTTCAATCTAAAAAATTTAATTCCCCACCACCCATTTAGAATGGTAATCAGCAGGTCAACACACTACATAGTAATTGACATTATTATTATTATTAGGAAAATACTATATGTACTCATATCTTCTACTCCCAAGTTTTACTCGCACACTTGAAATTTTGATATAGACACTTTTACAAGCGCCCACATGAAGAAAATAACTTATCAACGCCCGTTACATCATGAAGTAAATTTGAGGGAGTATGATTTGGGAGTACATGTAATAGAACTCTTATTATTATTATTATTATTATTATTATTATTATTATTATTATTATGTTTCTAGAAATAGCTAAACGACAGTACGCTTGCCAGAATTATTATTACGTCAGTTTTGAACGTCATTGGGTTGCGTCACCTACGCCGTGGCCAAATTTAGACCAGTTTATTTATTTATTTCCACAAATGTATGATATTTCTACTGCTTCAATTCCTCTGATTTTCCAGCCATCTGCTTCTCCCTTTCCTCCTCTCATCTTCGCTCCTTCCCCCCTCGATCACCAACTCCATCCGCCTTTATCTCTCCGCCCACCGCCCCGCCGGATCTGAGCTCTCTCATGGCCAAACCCACCATGGAAAACCCTCTCCACACTCACCGGAAAAGAGTGATCTCAGTGCTTCACAAGGGCAAGAAATCGGCGACTCAGCTTCAAACCCTACTCCGCAACTTCTCACTTGGATCCCAAGAAGAATCCCGCCGCCTCTTCCCTGAGCTCACGGAACAAATCATGGGATCTTTCTCCGAGGCTGTCTCCCAGCTTCTTCAGGCTGCTGATTCCGCCGTCTCCGGCGAGAACCCGGCCAAGGCTCGCCGAGGATGTTACAACAGAAGGTTCTATTCTGTCTGTGTTTGTTTTTTTTCTTTCTCTCTCTTGCTTAGATAATCACCATTTTTAATTTATTGGTGTTTCTGGTTTAGCAGAAAGTGTTCAGATACATGGATCAATGTCTCTAACACCAAGGAAGATGGGGGTGCATGGAGGAAATATGGCCAGAAACAGATCCTCAATTCAAAATATCCTAGGTACACTCTACTATAATTCACAATAATAATAATAATAATAATAATAATAATAATAATAATAATAATAATAATAACAACAAATTTTCTCCAATATATTGTCGGACCCCTACTGAGTTGTATATGGTACAACTATATAGTTGTACCAGGTACCATTCATATCATTGATACCAGATAGAATCACAGAAATTCTAATATTATTATTATTTTTATATTTTTTATTAATGTCACACCGGTGTTGAATTATATATGGTACAACTATGTAGAAATATATAATACATGCATGGTTGTATTAAGTACAATTTAATATAATGTTGTTTTGTATGTTAAGAGATTGATATGACAATACAGTGTGTGTGTGTATTATTGTTATTGTATTTTGTGTATTATTATTGATTTATATTCTATATTTTAATTCCATTTTTTTATGTTTATTTATTGGCGTAGGTGTTACTTTAGGTGTACCCACAAGCATAGCCAAGGATGCAAAGCAACAAAACAGGTTCAAAGGATATCTGAGGATGAATACAAGACCATGTACTTTGGTCATCACACTTGCAAAGATTCTTTTAGGGCTCCGGTTCTCGCGATCGAATCTATCTCGAATGATCCTTTTCCTATGACGACTGCGGATTCTACTTACTCGCCGAGCTTTGAATGTATCACGCAAGAAGGCAGTGGCGGCGGTGATCATAGCTATAACGACGGGATTGTGAATCAAGAAGATCATCAAGAATTTAAGGATGAATATTGTATGACTTCGGATAATTTTGATGAGGATGAGAGCTGCTTTGCCAATTTGGACAACCTTTTTCAATCAGAGGAAATGCGAAGACTCTTGGATTATTAGGAAATTAAAATAGTTACTTTAGTTTCCATTAATATGCATGCATATGTATGTAGAGTATGTACTAGGTTGCCTTGCATAAATCTACCACTTCATCTATGGCTTTTCTATTGTGTCTTCGTCAATGCCATAAGACACAATCATGCTCATGTTGGAGTGATTTAATAATAATAAAATATGTAATTATTCTCCGCTCGATCTACTTTTTTATATGGTAAAAACAATTGAAAATATACAAAATTTCTTTGGTCAAAGATTATTAAAATTTTATCTCAATAGATCATATTTTCCTCCTTACCTTGATCATCACATGGTGTCAAGTTGCATATGGACCGTATTCAAACAAAAGTGAGACATAGAAAGATATAGGCCCACTTTGGTAACATAGTAATCAATTTTAGCCTATTTGACCAATATTAGTTGTTTGACTGGGTTAAACAATCAAAATGAGTGTTTGATTAATTAGTTTTTTGTAACAAGTTATTACTCCAAAATGTTAAAATTCAAAAAGCTGCTCAAAGTAGTTTTTTCGATCAGTTTTTTGAAAAAGTCATTTTGCATGTAATCAACTATCAGCTAACAACTAATTTACTAAACATTTTCCTGCTATCAACTAGTCAAACTTACCAAACACCGCCATAATCAATTTCTTTAATTTTCTCTCATAACTTGACTACTGTACTCTCCGAGCTATTGTGTAAGTTTCAGTATTGGTTTTGAGTGCATGAAATTAAAATACATATAGTTGTGTAAATTTTACAAGACACGAAAATTGTTAGTTTTTACAAATCAAAACTTGGATCGATAGTGACAAATTCACCTCTAATACAATAATTATTCTATAACACAATACTTATATTTTACATCACCACAAGTCCCCAACTACAAATAAAAAAATAACGGACACCAACAACCTATAAAACCACACAACAAAAACCACCTTCAATCCCATGAACTTTATATCAACATTAATGGATGTAGGCCATTTACAGGATTATCAAACACAAGTGTAGTAGGTCCCATGCATCCAATTTGCATAGTTATTTTGGCTCTATTTTTCAGGCTACAACAAAACTTGTTAGGCACCGGCAATTAATACTTTGCGGTAGTGGCACAAAGCTGCAACTTGTTTATCGTGCCAGTGTGCGTGGACATACAATAAATAATATAACATACATCATACAAACTATATATGCATAAACAACTAACATAAAAAAAAAAAAAAAAAATTAAAACCATATGAAAAAACTGCTCTCGATACTGTCAACTAAATATTAATATGCAATAGGTCCTATCATAAATGCACAAAATAATATTCATCCACATCCAATTCGTACAGTTATTTCGGCTCTCAATACCGTCAACTAAATATCAACATGCATTAGGTCCTATCATAAATGCACAAAATAATATTCATCCACATCCAATTCGTACAGTTATTTCAGCTCTCAATACTGTCAACTAATATTAACATGCAATAGGTCCTATTATAAATGCACAAAATAATATTCATCCACATCCAATTCAAACGTACAGTTATATTGGGTCTCAATACCGTCAACTAAATATCAATGTAACATACAATAGGTCCTATATATCATAAATGCACAAAATAATATTCATCCACATCCAATTCATATGTACAGTTATTCCAAAACAAAATTAAATTAATACACGTTAGGCACTGGCAATTAATACTTTGGCAATGGCACATAACTGCAACTTGTGTTACCTCACTTACCTGCCATTGTATAGTAGGCAGTAAATTAAATAACATACTTCAAATCTTTTACAATGACTACCTGCCCTATCACTGCAAGTTGCAACCGCCACTCACAACTTGTACACACTTTATTCAAAGTCACAACTTCTGTCTAGCAAGTGGCTAGCCACGTAGCATGTTTTAAATTAAAAAGTGTTGTGTTTTTTTTTTTTTTTTTTCTTTTAACACGTTTTGAATAATTAATCATTGATCTCTTTTGAATAATGGATTATATATTGGTTTTACACCTTTAACTATTTTGGTGTTAAGATGTAGTTTCTTAATTATGTTGTGTACTTGTGTATGTACACATATTATTCCCAAAAGAATGAATCTCCAACTCCAATGACCCCTCACATTTCAGCCCGACAGAGCATTTGGGAGAATGTAAATCATGATATGTCAGCTGAAAACAAATGTTAGACATTTGTTTTCTGCGGAGTCTCCCTCTCAAAGTGGGGTTGTTCACACACTGCCGTTGGTGAGAATACGCTACCACATTTACCTGCAAATTAAGAACTACATATAAAGACCACGAGGTGTCTTGAGCAGGCCCTAAGTGTAAGAAACACGTTTAAGCTCGTACCATACTCCGACCAATCCACATTCACACCGGGTTGGCCCAATTAAGAGACGGGACAAAGTGTTGGCCAGATTAGTTTTCCATACAAGAGAGGGTTCGAACTCCCGACTTCTCTTAAAGGACAAGAATGCGCGATCATTAACGTCAACCAAACTGATTAAAGTGATAAATCAATTTAGATTGTTCATAACAACTGATGAGTGATGACTCAAATCAAGAATAGTAATAAACAAATCCCGCCGCACAATGGACCTATCAAGCTCCATCTCCTCGAGGCAACCTCTCGTCTTCTTCCTCTCATTATTGTACAAGTTTCTCCTCCGTTTCTTCCGATTTGCCTTTTCACATTTCGAAAAGAACTATAATTTATTTTATTATTTAACTCGAGGGAGATCGAAACCGACAGTGGACAACGTCGTAACCTCAAATGGTGGGCGACGCCACACAAGTGGCAAGTGCTAGCTAGGATAGCTGTGCTACGTGTCTCTGCATTATTGGTGAATTATATACATTATTGTACACTTCCATTGAAGGCTAGGAAGGTGGGATACATACTGGAAGACAATAACGACAAACCTTAACTTTATTTTTCTTCACTCTCAAAAATGTTTTGTTTTTTCAATTCCTATTTCCTGTGTTCTTCAATTCAATCCGTCCTCGGTGGAACGTACGCAGTACGCTGGCTTATCTCTTCTGGGACCAGACCACTGAGGATGTATGTTCATCCAATCATCCATCCATCCATCCACTTGGAGAAGATAATCAATATAATGTATAGTATGTCTCTCTTTTCACATTAATTCTTTAGTACTGATTTGAATTCGGTCCGACTTGCATATGTTATCTATTAATTAGTTGAAAAAAGATTGACTCAATTTGACTCTCTAACAATGTGATGTACCCCGTACAAGAATCAATCCTCCGAAGCTGCTATTAGTTGAGAAAGACTTTGATATATATATTCAAAATTTTTTAATATAGTATATCTCAGTCGATTATCTGACCAGCTTGCAGAATTCTTTAATATGACATACCTCGTATGTATAGAGTCCACTCAATAGATTATCCGACCTTGCAGTTGCACAAACAGCTCTTCACTTACCAACTGTATGAAACTATTAGGTTTACTTGACCATAATTGCACATAATATATAAAAGTAATAAGTATATAGTCTAACAATCCATTTAACTTTTTAATTGAGACAGAATATTTTTAAAAACATACTTGAGGTAGAAAGTACATCCCCTTGTTGTCCAGAACTCATCAAAAATAATGAATCTATACACATAATAAGGCAGGTTGAGTTTAACATATAAAAATAATAAATGCATAATCTAACAACAAATTCAATTTTTATTGAGACGAATTGAAACAAATATTTTAATTATTGAAATGTCGTTTTCAATGAATATGTGGAAGCACTGTTCCTGACTGTGATGAAACCATGGTCCATGGGCGACAGATTTCTCGTCACGTCATTAATTAATTCGAACACTGATTAAAAAATAAAATTAAAGAAAAAAAAAAAACGTACGTGATCATTTAATCATGTCGGGTGGGTAATTGGGTAATGTTTGCAGACGATGATAAGGTTCAATGAAAAAAGACAGGTAAAAAGGGTAATACGGAGTAGTAAAGTAATTAATGTAAAGTACTTAAGTGGAATAAAGTTGTTTTCTCGCATGGATGCATACAGCTGTTTTTTTTTTTTTTTTTTACACAAACAAAAGCCTACAACCACTATCTAAAAATATATATTGGGTAAAACTCACTTCGCTAATATATAATAATCCACAACTACACTCGAGAGGTAACCTCACTCATATATAATAAGGTGTGCATAAAGTAAATTTTTTAGTTGTCATCTCCAGTGTAATAAGATGTGCACTGAGTAAATTGTGTCCTGCTCTTGTATAATAGTTTTCAAATCATCTGTAATAAGGTATGCACTGAATAAAGCTAGTATTGCGCCCGCTTTTGTGTAATAGCGCTCAAACCACACAAAAGAGGTAGCAATACTCTTGCATGTGTAATAGCTCGCAAACCACACATGAGAAATAATTTGTATTAGGAAGATCATGTGCATGCAATATATTCAACAAAAAGAGTATACGTTTACAAGAATCAAACTCAAAAGACAATTTAATACAAGAATCATATATTCTAAGTAACTCGACCAATTATTTTGAGATAATGTAATACGTAATAATTTAATACAGCTAAGTGTGAATTGTATGTGAATACTTCTACTCCCAGCTGGCTGTAAGTCTGTACTTGTTTATTTAATAGTTTAGGAAAGAGACAAAAGTGGATAAAGCAAGGTTATGTTTGACGTATTGAATAAGTTATGACTTATTAGTTTCGTATCTTTAGATAAGGTTAGTTTTATATATATATATATATATATATATATATATATATATATATATTACTGACTCTGTTATAATTTAGTATTTCTTCAAGTCATGTCACTTGCCATAACGTCACTAGCAGTTTTTTTGGAATATGCATGGAGCCATGACTTCCTATTTAAGGGAATCACTTCATAACACTTGACCATAAAGTTATTGACAATTTTTTTTTTTAAATTTAATTTCGATAATTGATGTGAATAAATTATTGGAATATGCATGGAGTAGTTATAATGCCAGCTAGAAAATTTGTGATAAGATAATTAGATAAATGATTCACGGAGCGTTTGGTTGGGAGTAAGGAATTAGGGTGGAAAGGAATTGCAATTCGGTGGGAAAAGAATAAGGTGGGAATAAAGTAGGAATTCAAATTACATTGTTTGGTAGGGATGAATATAATTATTGGGTAGGGAATGAAAGAAGTGATATAAAGACTAAAAATGTCATTGTGTAATAATAATAGTAGTAATAATTAAGGGTACTTTTGTCATTTCATCCCTTTTTTCCTTTTCCCACAACCACCGAATTGCAATTCATAGGGGGTGCCCATGAATTGCAATTCAGCAAAAGGAGAGAATTGCAATTCCCTCTAACCAAACGGCGTAATTGTGACTTCCACTGAATTGCAATTCAACTACAGCCAAATTACGCCCAACCAAACAGGCCATCAATGTTAATATGAATTGAGTTTGGTCTTTCAAAAAAACAGTGTAAGGCACGTGTTCAACTTAGACGGTCTTGATCTCTAGTTCAAGGTCAACCTAGTAGCAAGACTCTAGTCAATAGGGCCATGGGTGGAAATCCCTATAGTATTTATCATGTCGAAATTGAGAAAGAGTTATACTACATATACTCATAAATTTTACTCTCTCAAATTTACTTCTTGATGTAGCTGATAATAGTAAGTTGTTTTCTTTATGTGGATCCCTGTAAATGTGTCTATATTAAAATTTTAAAAATGCAAATAAAAATTGAGAATAGAAAATGAGAGTACATATATTATTTTTTATTAAGAAATGAACAAAAATCAATGGTTTATTGTTTACGATATTTCATTAACGAACTTTTATTTTTATTAAAAAAGAGTTAAATTATGCAAATTTTGAATATGTATTGATAAGTGACAACTAACGTAAGCAGATTACTAAAATAATTAATTGTAAAGTCGGAGTTGCTAATTAAAGAGCTTTGTGCAAATGTAATATACTTTCTCTTGAGTAAAAGTTAAACTTTACAGATAAGATTGAAACAAAATTCAAATTACTTTCGTGACAATAATGATACTGAACACAATACAATAAAAAATAATAATAATAATAAATAATTTAATAATTTAATATTAGAAAAATATAGAATTGGCCCTCTAAGCACTCTAGCATCTTAATCTTTCTGTAATAATAAATGTTGTGAATAGGACAATACAATGGCTCCATGCTTTCTCGTTATATATGTCAATTTGTCTCTTTCCACATAAGGGTAAATTGTTTTTTTTTTTTTTTTTTTCACCATCAATTTGCTATTTTTATTTTTATATTTCTACTTTTATATTCAATTCTACTCAAATGCCTTTTTGCATATGTTGATTGAGATTGGAGTTTGGGCCCAAGGAGCACAAAGAGTGGGCTCGAATTGGGCCTAGAATGGCTAACAGGTTTTGTTGCCATAATGCAAGTGGGCCATAAGGACCGCCCAACAGCATTATTGGGCCATATTGCTCTCCTTTGGGCTCATTGGCCCAGTATAGTGACAACTTCTTCCAAAACCAGAAACAGTTGACTATAACCCAACGGGGTAGTTCAAGTGGCAAATGAGTTCTCTTTGTAAGAAAAAATTTTGGGATAACTGGCTGAACCAGTTTTCGTGTCTCCCAGAGCGAGCGGGAATTAGTTGGATTGACCCGAACAATAAGACGAACGGAGCGGAGATTAATCTACATTTAATTTTGTAACAGAGTCAACCGTCTGACCAACTTGCTTAGGTTGTCATGCTAATTATGGATACGTCAATACCAACTAAGGGAGAAAAAAAGATGAAGAAAATGATTTAGAGTACATTAGATCACAAAAGATTTACTATGTTGGGTGTGTTATGTCTCATGATGTCGATATTTCATGTTTGTTGAACCATAAATATGATGCCACGAGACACACCCAAGTTGGCATGGTATTAAATGGCAATATAATTTGCAACAATAATGACGTCCAACACGCTTGTCACACGTTGTTTCTTAACAACGTTCTCCACTCGGATTAGACTTCCTATCAAACCTAACAATTGTTCTTTGTTCTACTTTATCCTACTATACCAACCACTAGGTATCAAACTATCAATTCATTTTCTCCGTTTAACTAATTTTCTTCTGCTCCGGCATCTCCAAAAGCTGCAACCAAGAAGAGTAACCAAAAAGCTTCCATTTTTTTTCAGGTAATCTAGTCAATTTTGATCATTTTTCTTCCAATTTTTTTTCAAGATTTCATGGTGGGTAGTCTTGGGTTGTGAAACTGGGGTCTGGGTATTCATTGTTTTCTGATTATCAGGTCGAGGAAGAGTATGGGTCACCACCACCACCCTCACCACCACCCCCACCACCACCACGAAGGCGGCCGTCCATACGATGATCCAATCCTCGCATGTTGTTGCTGCCCATGTTTCCTAGTCTCCTCAGTGTTCTCCGTGTTCAGGAGATGTCTGTTTGTTGCCTGTTATCCTGTGCTGCAATGCTTTGGGTGGGATGAACATAGGCACCACCACCACCACAGGCATTTCTATTAGCTTTTAACTTCAACCACCTTAAAACCCGTCAAGTTAAAGTAATTTATCCTTCCATAGTTCTGTTACACGAAAGTGTAATGATTCTGGATGGAGAAAATTTCGTCTTTGTGGGCAAATTTAGCGTTTAGGCTTTAGCTTCATCTTCCATTTTTTTAGTTTCTAAACTTGTGATTCATGTCAACCAAGACAATCATTGAAACTTGTAGTCCATATTTTCTGGTGTATCTGAATGATGATTTGATTGTTGTAATCTATGGTGAATTTTAGTAATTTTGCTAATTTTGAGGTCAAAGGGAAGATGACGACCACTTCTTGGTGCCACAACGTTCCAAATTGTTGTCTTTTTGTCATTTCATTTTGTTTGTCTTCAAGGTTCTTGAAAATTGCCATTTGTGTCTGTCCGGGTCAACTCAATTTTGCGTGTTTACTAGGGCAGGTTGTTTGTTGGCTTTGACAAACCTACTTTATGTCCCATCATGTTTTTGAGAAGACTTGCAAGTCATTTAAAGTGGGTATTTCAAATTTTGTGCCATCATATTTTAATGAAAAATATTAATTGTGGGAATTAAAAAGTTTATAATGATTGATAATTAAATTGTTAATGTAATTATAAAGTCTAAATATGATGCTAATGTAATTACAGGATTGAGATATGATGTTAATGTAATTATAGGATTGAGATTGGAAGGTTGACTTTTTGAGTTGGTATATATGTTTTGTGGCTTATTTTGAAATGTTATTTATGGTAACATTTTAAAATAATTTATTATTTTAAACTTTTTATCTTTTATCGAAGCTTATAAGTTATAAGCTCTTGTAAACATAGTCATAATATGCTCATTTGGGTAATACGGAAACCCTAGTCATTATATGAGGGTCTTGCTCATGTGTATTAGCCTATAAAACACAAAGGATAAATCCCACTCCTTTGTAACACTTTGCAAACCATATAAAAAAAAAAGATAATCGCACTAAGAAGACCCTATGTAATAAGGCTCAGAGAATATTAAAAAAAATCGAACTCATAATTAACTCATAATTTTTAATACGAGAATCATGTTTTTCCAACTCGATTACCCATTTTGAGGGCACTCTTACTTTTGCAATTATACAAAATCACTTAGTCCTTCCATGGAAAATAGGAACCGGAAATCTACAAATTTACATAATTGAAGGATTATGAGAACATTTTATAGTTAAATGGTCCAAGTGAGAACGAAGATAGTGGTAAATGTAAATATATGGAATAAGCCCACAGGCCTTGTATTATGGGCCTGGTAGTGTAATTGCGCTTTGAGGAGGCAGGCCCATTTGAGCACCATGTCTAAGAAAATCATGAATTGAATGTGATTGCAATTAATACATTATGTACCTACAATTAATAATTTTTATATTTATAAATAAATTAAAAACATATCACATAACATGATAATTATAAATACATAAATTGTTAACTATTAGCAACATAATATATATTCGCAATTAACATATTATGTTATTTTTAAACTAGCATCCATGTAAATTATCAAATCATATTTTTCCAACTTGATCACCTCTTTTTAAAACATATCTTTTACAAATATAACTCACCAGGTGGATATAATAACTCTGATCTATGTTCAATCCTGAATAAAATTTAGCTATGTTAAAATTCAATATACTAATAATAAATAAAGCTAAATTATTACGGAGTATAAAATATTCAAATATAATGTAACTAAATTGATCGACTTTATGCAATGTAAATTATTATAATAAATTATTCTTTATAAAATATATATCTATTCGGATAAGATATATGCTATCCATACGGCTTGCTTATAATTATATTATAATTAAAATAATAATCATTTATTTGAGCGGCGCCGGCTGATCATACGGTCATCTATGATCACAAATGGTGTACTTGCAATAATGTAACTTCATAACTTTATATATATATATATATATATATATATATATATATATATATATATATATATATATATATATATACAAGATCAAATGCGACGGAGTTCTCACATAAAAGGTGCATAAGTTTAAAGTTTAAGGTCGTAAGTTTATAGTTTTAGGTGCCTAAGTTTAAAGCTTAAGGTGTGTAAATTTATAGCTTAATGTGCGTATATTTAAAGATTAAGGTGTATCACTTATTCACTTTCTAGTTAGTGCATGAATTTAACTCTTTAAGGTGCATGAATTTAACTCTTAAGGTGCACAACTTTGATTCATTAGGAATATCGACTTCCATACTCTAGGTGCATAAATTTAAAGCTTAAAGTGCATTATTTTACAGATTAAGGTGTATAATTTTGAAGCTTAATTAAGGTGCATCAGTTTGAAATTTAAGGTGTATCAGTTTAGTACTTAAAGTGCATTACTTCGAAACTTAAGATGCACTAGTTCAGTACTTAATGTGCACAATTTCAACACTTAAGGATAAGTTCGAAGACTTAAATGCATCGATTCAAAACTTAAGGTGTATAAGTTTGAGAGTTAAAATGCATTAGTTCAGAGTTTAAGGTACATAAGTTCGACACTTAAGGTGCATCAGTTCGAAACACTTAAGATCACTCGCAAGTCACATCCATGTTGCTAGGAAGCGCGTTAAAAAAAAAAAAAAAAATCATTCATTTTAATTGAACCGTAAATCTAAAATAAATCAACGACTCATACCTCAACTTATTTTTTACCTGAGAGACCCTTCACATCTGAACCTTCCCTAATACGGTCATATGTTCTATCAACGTTATTAATACGAAGTGAGAACTAGATAGGTAGAGTTTGACAATGCAATGTTTGTGTATTATTTTTCCAATGACTATGAAAGATTCATTCAAACCCTAGTTGGTAGGGTCCCAATAAAGCCAACAAGGACCATGTATACTCACCCATCAACATTTACAATAATAAATCATTATAATTTTATTAATAAACAACAACAAAATATTTTCATGAAAACAAATCAAAATTACTCTCAAGATAAATTAAACCTCTAAGCATTCTCTCTTTTGGACTTACTCTCTGTGGTTTAGCAGAGAGTCAGTGAATTCTTTAGATTTTACTGCGGCTTCTCTTCGCAGGAGGCGGAATATTTTCCGTCTGGAAAAACGAGCCGGAAAAGGAACGGTGTCGGGTTTCTCGGAGCCACCGGCGATAAAGTCCAAAGCTCCACACGTACTGAGTCGCCAGAAAATTGACCGCAGCTGTGTACAGTTGTCTTTCGATCTGCGCGGGGCGGAATATTTTTTTGGCGTTGAAAATTGGAACGTAAAGCCATGCAGAAATTGACGCAACGCTTCTCCCATTCTTTGTCGTCGTCTTCATGTTCTTTTCTTCTTCCGTTACATCACTTTTAACACCGTTTTTAGATCGTTGGGTTTTATATAATTTTTTAATTGGAGTTCGTATATATAATTTTTTTTATGCAAATATCATATTTTATTATGAGTTAGGACTGGTTAATCTGTATAAGTAACCCGTACTTGCTCATATGACATTGGTCTAGTGAATAAGAAACATCACTCAAGATTTGATTTCAGTCGCAGGGTAAGGGGTTGGTAATGAGATAATTGAATTAGCCATTAGACCCGACCTGAAGCTCATTGAACGGACATGAAGCAATCAACACGGTCAGGAGTCCAGCAGGACGAGATGGAACGATTCCAGAGTGCAATGCACTTAGTACGTAGCGTAGCAGGGCCGCACCACCTCATCAAAAGAGCATGAATTATGAATGAGAATGCACAACAATTACTACGAAGTCATGACGCTTATTGAGGAGAGTCATTGCACTTATTAGGAGACCGTTGTGCCCTTACCACTATATTGTATAAAAGATGAGCTTATGTCATAACATAAAGAATGTAGCATGCTCTATGTACTGAGGCTAGCTATAGCAACACGTTTTATCTTTGTTCACTTATAACAAATATTTCTAACGTAGTTACTGTAAAAAATTAATAGTAAAAAATTTGATATAGTTAATAGGATAAAATTAGAATTCACCCATATTAATTAAAATGAGAGTTAAATTGACATGTAAATCATAAGTAATAAATAACTATCTAAAAACTAGTATTATTTTGTTAACTCAAAAGAATCACACAAAAATCCTCCTTAGCTTGTTTTTTCATTGAAGCCATTTGAAGCCTTATAAATCAAGATTAGAGAGTAATGGATGTTGCTTAATTTAATCATATTCATAGAGAAATCGATATTTGTGAAGACTAAGCTTGGCTTAACAACTAATCAAATGTAACTAGGTTGGATAATATAATACTTCCGATGTATAACTAAACAAAAATCACAATGTCATATATTTGGCATTATTTACCATTATCATTGGAACACTCCAAGAATATGAATGCAAGTATTCATGTAAGGTAACTTGCACTTGTTCATGGTCCATCATGTTGATTTTTTTTTTATTTTTTTTTTTTTGGGGGGTCAAACCACATATTTTTCATCAATTAAGGTATGCTAGGGTTATACACGTTGAGACTGGGTAGGACCTCAAAGGATATGATGGTAAAACACACCCTCATAGGTTTTAAGATAGTTTGCATCTTCAAGATTCAAACTTAACACCTGATCAAACTGAAAGTTTAAGAGACTCGGATCATCTCATCCATAAGCATGAGTATCTGGTCGATTATTGAGCTAATGGATAATCATCAACAAGATTTCAAGAAGGAAAACTACACAAGTTAAGGCCTAAATTTTGGACGACAAAGCATGTCCATACCATGACTTATGTCTTAAGTTGTCATTAATTAACATAGTTGCTCTTGCGATTAACGTTTGTTGATGACTTGAAACTTGAAAGCAATTTCCTTTAATCCTAAGTGTTAGTCATTATGTTTCAATTCTAAGTCAGATCATCACACTTAACAGATAAAAACCCCTTCTTCATCAATCGTCACATCCACAACCAAACAAAGTTAATTATATATATTTTGATCAATACCCAATATAATGATGTTAATTTGTTTGCCACTATATATATGTAATAACTCTTTGACAAATATTGTGTATATATGTTTAATATGTTATTGGAAGATGACAAGTGTTGAGAGTGTAGTAAACATGAATGAAGTGACAATATTTTGTCATTGTGGTTTGAACTTGAATTGAGTTTGTTGAGTGAGTTAGAGGTGCGGGGCATTACTCTCGTGGTACAGAACATCGATAATTTTGTAAATGTATCATTAGGGTTATTTATAAATATGATGCTTGTAAGCTTTTCTTTGTTTTTCATTTTCTATTATTAATCTAGCTTGATCTTGATATGTTTTTATCAACATCAAATATAATATTTATTTTGAAAAAAAAAAAATTGAACCATATATGATTATTAGTTAAGTGGACATGTTCTTATAATCTAGTCACACAATTAATGGGATCTAATCAAACAATATAATCCATTGTTGATAGAGAGAATAGAATAGGGGAAACCCAATGTGCTTTTTCTTGTGACTTTAGTGGAATTGAAGAAAGGAAGCTCTAAAAGCAAAAGTAGTCACTCTCTGCAACCTCATCACCAATATGAAAAAGATAACACACTATCGCCCCCCCCCCCCCCCCCACCCCTTCTTTATTGAATATTGAACTACCTTCACTTCTCCATATCTATGCTCCAACTACCATTCTTTATTGCTCATTGTCACCTCCTCTTTCCTTTTCTTTTTCTTACAAACAAATCAACAATGAGGAATGGCATGAAAGTAAATTCCTAGCAAGTGTATGGTGCACCCAACTCCATGTGCCACATATAGGTGACACTCATCAAAATTATGAAAATTTCTCCGATGTGATATGATGCAACATTATAAATGGTAATAAAAATAAATAGATAAATAATATTAAATAAGATTATAAAAATATTATATACAACAAAAAAGGAGGCTGAACTCATGCCTCGTTAAGTTAATCGAATGCTGACCTTTCGGAACAAGGAAAATCCTACATAAGCACGTGACGCCCTTGAACAGGTAATCCGATTATAGTTCTAGATGTTCGGCTTTCAAGACAGGTGGATGCATCAGACCACCATATCGTTGTCAACTGTGTTGATTGAGCCCTGTCTTCCCAGGGTCAAGGGTCCCCTGGGACTCACCGCCGACGTTCACCCATCGGACAGGTAAGCCGATTGAGTCGGAATCAGAATTGAAAGATGGAAGACCTGGATGTACTAAATTAGGAGCATGCTAATTAATAGTGTAAAGGTGTGAAGTGATGTCTTTTTTTCTTTGTTTTTAGTCAACAAATATTTAAGAGTTGAATTTATATTATTGCATTTTTTTATGTTAACAAAATAAACTTGTCGTGATTCTTTACTGGAATTTGATATTGTAATCACTCATTTGGAATGACAACATAGGTGGTGCCATCACATTACATAGTAATTAGCTTATCATAAGGTACTTAATTAATACAAACATATTATTTAAAAAAAATAATGCAATAATATTAGTGTTTAATACGGAGTACAATATTGTAAATCTAAGAGGAAAATATAACATTTAAAAAAAAAAAATTACTCCCTATTCCCTTACTTCCTAGTGCATTATTAAATACTTGATGAGAATTATATTCTTAAAAATATAATAATAATTTTTTTAGCATAATAATACACTTACTTTCTTTTTTATTTTTCTAAAAAAAACAAAATAATCTACTAACTAGTAGTTGGAGGAATACTCCATAGGAATACATTCAGCAATTTTCTTATTTTGTGTGCAAGGTTGAACCAAAAACCTATTACATGCTGACACGTGCCTCATATATAAAAGTGGGCCCTATTGGGCTTCTAATTTTTCCCTTTTCTTTTTCTTTTTTTTCCGGACAAATTATACCATGACTCAGGATCTCACCTTACATTATAGACATAGTCAAAAAATAATTTTAAGATTTTGTATCGATATTTGACACATTTTATACTTGTAGTATTATATTATGTGCCAGCAATTATTTAAAAATTAACTTTCATATTTTGTATTTATAGTTAACACATTATGTATCTGCAGTTCATAATTTTTGTATATATAATTATCATATTATATGTCAATAATTATTAAGTTATTTGTTTACTTAAATAGTTAATTGTAACTAAAAGAAAATTTTTTGTACCAAAATTCACAATGCAATATAAAACGGATTTATTGTATAACAATTGTTTTTTCCCCTCATTAATAAAGACTATATCTGCCCCTGCACTCCGACAATTGAGAGACGAGAGCTTTAAATGCTTCACTGACTCACCACCTTGCCGGAAACCACCGCCAATTCACCAAACCTCCTTTAGCTTTTTCCGGCGGTTTTTTGTCTCCTTCACTTTCCCCGGCCCACTCCCTCTCTCTTCTTTCTCCACCGCCGCCGCCGGTGGGGCTCTTTTCCTGCGAAATTTCAACCGAGCTAGCTCGCTTCTCGTTCTTTCCTTCTCTGTAAACACCAACCCACCTTCAAATCAACTCTCTTGTTGGGAGATTTAGAGGTTCTTTTCCACTCTTTCAGCTCGTTTTCCCCGTTAACTCCTCCCAAAATTTCACCTTTTTCCTCGCAGATTTGAAAATTCACTTTCTTTCCCCCCCCCCCCCCCTTCTCTTAACCGTTTTCTTACTCGGGTTATCTTCTCGCAATGTGGGTAGTTTATTGCGTTTGTTTGTAGTTTCCTGCTCTGGGTTTTCTCGTAGCTGCTGTTTGGTCGGAATTTCTAGCCGTTAATGTCAAATTTTTCCTGGCTAGAAAGAGTTCAAAAACAAGTCATTTCATCTCTAGGAATTTGTTTCTTGTCTATTCTTGTTTCTCCTAGCTGTAGTTGTCGTTATTACCTCGAGACCCAAATAATGTTCTAATCACTTTATATTTCTTTCCAACCAAATGTACGGCTTGCATTCATGTCTGGCTTTAGTGTGTTGTTAAGGTTTCTGAGCCTTTGTAATGGAAATATAAGTTAGAGTGTGTTGTTTTTGGATGTATTGAGGTGGGGGGAATGGGAATGAGAGGGGTGTTGTGCTTTTTGTTTTTGAGTCTTTTTGTTTTGGTTAGGGCTTTGAACCCTTCACTGAATGATGATGTTCTGGGGTTGATTGTGTTCAAGTCTGACATTCAAGATCCAAATGGAAAGCTGGTTTCTTGGAATGAAGAGGATTACAGTCCTTGCAATTGGGATGGGGTGAAATGCAACCCCAGATCCAATAGGGTGTCTGAGCTTAATCTTGATGATTTTGGGCTTTCTGGGAAGATAGGCAGAGGGCTTCTTCAATTGCAGTTCCTCAGGAAGCTCTCATTGGCTAAGAATAATCTTACTGGAGGGTTAAGTGTTAGTCTTACCCAGCTTCCTAATCTCAGGGTGATGGACTTGAGCCATAACAGTCTGTCTGGGCCGATTCCGGCTGATTTCTTTCAGCAATGTGGGTCATTGAGATCGATTTCTTTGGCCAAAAACAAGTTTTCAGGGCAAATTCCTGAGAGTTTGAGCTCATGTTCTGCATTAGCTTCATTGAATTTATCCTCAAATCAGTTTTCTGGAGTGTTGCCTCCTGGGATTTGGTCTTTGCCTTCCTTGAGGTCTCTTGATCTGTCAGATAATCTGCTGAAGGGTGAGATTCCAAAGGACATTGAAGGTCTCAAGAATTTGAGGGTGATAAACTTGAGGAAGAATCAAATTGAGGGCGAAGTACCTGATGGGATTGGAGATTGTTTGCTGCTGAGGTCAATTGATTTTAGCCAAAATTCCCTTTCTGGAGGACTTCCCACCACAATGCAGAAGCTAAGCTTGTGTAACGAGCTAATCTTGAAACAAAATGCATTCACTGGCGATTTTCCGGAATGGATTGGAGAAATGAATAGCCTCCAGACTTTGGACCTTTCAGAAAACAACTTCTCTGGTGAGGTTCCAACTTCTATTGCAAATCTTCAGTCACTGAAGGTACTAAACTTATCCAGGAATTCGATTTCTGGAAGCTTGCCAATTTCCATGAGCAGTTGCATAAACCTTCTGGTTTTAGATGCTAGTCATAACTCCTTGACAGGTGAAGTTCCTTCTTGGCTATATAAACTGGGATTAAAGCAGGTCATCCTTTCTGAAAATAGGCTCACTGGTAGTCTAGATAACGCTTTTGCTACATCTATGGAGAATTCTCGTCAAAAGATTGTAGCTTTGGATATGTCTCACAATAATCTGTCTGGAGAGATTCCATCTGCTCTTGGAGATTTTGATGGCTTGGAATTCTTGAATTTGTCTGGAAACTCACTTTATGGAAGCATTCCTAAGAGTATTGGAAAACTGAAATCCCTGGATATGCTCGACTTGAGTGAGAACGAGTTAAATGGAAGCATTCCTACCGAAATTGGAGAAGCCACCTCTCTTAGGGAATTAAGGCTACAGAAGAACTACATGGATGGAGGAATTCCCGCTTCAATTGGAAACTGTTTGTCACTAATCACTTTGTAAGTTCTCTATTTCATCTAAATCCAATCTTGTAGGTTTATTTGGACTAACAAAATTATCACTTTCATGAAAATTATGAGCTAGGATGATATAAGTTATAATTCAACTTTCACCGTAATCTTGTTAAAGTATTAAGAGAATCTGGATCATATATCATGCTAACAATAGTGTCAAATCGCATACTTTAGATGTTTGGAATGTTCATTAGTTATACTTCCTTCATTAGTTTGGAATGCTTATATTTTTGCAGGTCTCTTTCACATAATAACCTAACTGGTCCTTTACCAGCAGCCCTAGCGAAACTGGGTTCCCTCCAAAATGTCGACTTTTCCTTTAACAAACTAACCGGAAGCCTGCCAAAGCAGCTAGCCGATCTTGTGCACTTGTTATCCTTCAATGTTTCACATAACCGATTAAACGGTGAACTGCCTGGCGGTGGGTTTTTCAACACCATTTCACCGTCTTCTGTGTCTGGTAACCCGTCCCTTTGTGGGGCTGCGGTCAATAGGTCGTGCAATACGGTCCTACCCAAACCGCTTGTACTGAACCCGAACTCAACCGATGATGCTCCCGACACGATCCCTCAAGCTTTTGGCCACAAGAAGAAGATTCTCAGCATCTCGGCCCTCATTGCCATTGGGGCAGCTGCTGTGATTGTCGTTGGTGTGATTGCGATTACTGTGCTCAATATGCGGGTCCGGTCTGCTGCCCCTCGCGCTGCAGCTCTCACGTTTTCCGGCGGGGATGACTTCAGCCACTCGCCCAGTACTGATGCAAATTCGGGCAAGCTTGTGATGTTTACGGGAGATCCCGACTTTAGTACTGGCGCTCATGCTTTGCTTAACAAAGATTGTGAGCTCGGGCGTGGTGGATTTGGAGCAGTCTACCGGACTGTTCTCGGGGATGGACGTCCCGTTGCGATTAAGAAGCTCACGGTCTCGAGCCTTGTTAAGTCCCAGGAGGATTTCGAAAGGGAAGTTAAGAAGTTGGGGAAAGTGAGACACCCTAATCTTGTGACACTCGAAGGCTATTATTGGACCCCATCGCTGCAGCTTCTTATCTACGAATTCGTCTCGGGTGGGAATTTGTATAAACGTCTCCACGAAGGATCGGGGGGGCCAAATTTAGCATGGAGCGAGAGATTCAACTTAATTCTTGGCACAGCTAAAAGCTTGGCTCACTTGCACCAAATGAACATAGTTCACTACAATATAAAGTCAAGCAATGTTCTCATTGACAGCTCGGGTGAACCAAAAGTTGCAGATTATGGCTTAGCAAGGCTGTTGCCCATGCTCGATCGATATATCTTGAGCAGTAAGATCCAAAGTGCACTTGGCTACATGGCACCCGAGTTTGCTTGCAAAACTGTGAAGATAACAGAGAAATGCGACGTGTATGGGTTTGGAGTTCTGGTTCTCGAGATAGTTACTGGGAAGAAGCCCGTAGAGTACATGGAGGACGATGTGGTTGTGATCTGTGACATGGTGAGAGGAGCCCTCGAAGATGGCGGGGTGGAAGATTGCATTGACAAGAAGTTGCAAGGGAAGTATCCAGCCGAGGAGGCGATTCCCGTGATGAAATTAGGGTTGATCTGCACCTCGCAAGTTCCTTCGAACAGACCCGACATGACAGAAGTAGTGAACATTTTGGAGCTGATCAGATGCCCTTCTGAAAGCCACGATGAGGAGCTCGGTTAAGGCCTAAGAATCACGTTTACAATGGCGAAGAAGAATCCGGTTAGTTTAATTTAGTCTCGAGGCAAGAAGTCTGAAACAGTTTCTGCAGAAATTTTTTTCCTTATTTTCCCATTTGCTTATCTATATTCCAGTAGGGGTTACCGGATTCTTTTTCACCTGGGTTCCAATCTGGAACCTCTCTTGTTTATCTTCACTTATCCTTCTTCTACTGTATTTGCCACTTCTCATATCAATTCATGCTAACTTTTGCTTTCTGTTCTTGCATCTGTTAGTGGGTGTGCCACTAAGTCCATTTCTTGAAAAAAAAAAAATGATGAAAAACATCATCTGATGTTTTGGAAATGCAGGATGTATATGTGTTTGTCCTTTTCTGTGTTCTTTTTAAGAAAAAGGTGTGTACCTCTGCTGTCATTGGGGCAAAGTTGAAAACTCACCACAAAACACAAAAAACATGAAAGGTCAGAGCATATGATTTGTCAAGTCAAAAAAGTGATTTGATGGTCTGAAGGTTTCTGGGATTCTTTAGCACAATAATCTGAGTGATGATTATAATAACAGGAAAGTTATGGTATAAAATATGGATTAAAGAGATGGGAAGAATGGAATAGAATAATACTGAATATTATGCTGTCCAGAAAACTGCCATGGCCCATCATATGTCTTTGTGTGTGTGTGTTTTTTTTTTTTTGGTCAAATTTTAGATTTCTGATTAAGGTAGAAAAGACTCACGTCATGATAGGTTAAATATGAAATCTCTGATTAAAATAAAAGAAACTTATGTAATGATATGTTAAATTTGAAATCTCTGATTAAGATAGAAGAGATTTATGTCATGATATGTAATGCGTTTGTGTTTTCTTAGGAACCAATGAGATTTACATTAAATTTTATGGGTTATCTTGTCATGATGTTGTGCATAATAAAATATAGGAATTTGAGTCTTATAATATAAAAGAATTGAAGTTGGGTATTTAATTAGGCAAAAATTGGTTGTTGTTTAAGAGCATGTGGTTAGATAGGAGAATGAGTTGTCCCAAATGCAACCCTGCCACAAGTCTAATGATGATGTTAGAGTATTATACATTTATACCTAACCTATTGGCTTATACACTGTCCAACTTCCATTTGCACATGGGTTATATATCAATAATCATGATTTCAACATAATAATAATAATAAAATAATAATACTAATAATAATAAGATTTTTCTAAGATATCAATGGTTACATATGTAAATTTTTGGAAATTATTAGCGTATAATTACACTAAAAAGAAGAATCAAACTCGTGCCAAGTAAATCAGGCTGACAGGGTTTACCTAATGCACATTCTCGAATAGTAATTACTGGTTATTCAAAAAAAAAAAACTCATGACCTTATGTTACACTAAATTTTTATATTATAGTAATAAGTAGACTACATAAATATGAGAAATAAAAATATCACTTCTAATAATAAAAGCACCCCCAAGCTTCTCCAAAAAGGAATAAAAATGTCATGAAGAACCCAAAAAGTTAAATATAATGGTAAGGTGATGCATACATACATAAACAACTTTATAAGTAAAATAAAATTGGGAAAAGGTGTTAATTTAAGTGGTAGAGAAGATCCAATTTGAGTATTTAAATATGTACTCTTAGAGCATTTTTAATTGTGTAATTTTTAGCACAAATTTTTTGTTGGAAAAATAGCATTAAAATGGCATTTAAGTAGCTATTTTGTGGTACAATTATCGGTGGGGTCCACTTCCGACTTGGGTCGGGTCAAAGTGGATTCGGGTTCTTCGTAGTGAGACGAAGAGATTGATATATTGTACGCTCAAAACGGATAATGGGTGAATGAGATATTGATTCTCAAAGTAGACCCATTGAGTTGGAAAAATGAAGGGAAAAAGTGAGCTTTTGTCCCACATTGGTTTGGAAAGAGGATTTGACCCCCCTTTTATACAAGAGCTTTTTTAGAGCTTGTAGAATTGTATAGTATAGAGGCTCTCTCGCGTGGGGGCGAGGGTTGGTGCAAATCAAATTCCAACTAGAGATGAGTTCAAAAAAGCTTGATTCAAGCTCGAGCTCGTGTGCGCCGGCACGAATGTTGTCCGGAAATTGGCTGACTAATGTGGGATTTTTGAATTTAAATCCCATGAAATGGCTTGCTGTTTCAGAGGTTACAAAGCCAAGTTTTAATGGCCTTGTTTAATGCTATTAAGGTCTTTCATCCCTATATAAGAAGGGGTAGAGGGCATAAGTTTTTTTTTCAAGAATTACAACAACAAGTAGAGAGCTCACACACGAGATTTTGTTTTCAAGCCTCAAAACACTTCTGTTTCTACTCCTTTCTTAAGCCTAACTGTGTTCAAGGCTTTGCTCTAGTTCGCCGGGTTCGTTCGTTTGGGTGCTCGAACGTCGAACCGTAGCGCGTTTTATCCTGGGAAACCTAGGTCACGACGCTCCTAGCACTTGTGGGAGGTGTCAAATAAGGTTTTAAGGAAAGAGTGGTCTCTTGACTCACGCTAAAAACCCTTACCCAAACACGAGCCATCTTTCCTTCTTTCGGTTTTGGATTATGCTTCTAATCAAAAATCATTCTTTTCTGATTTCGTTTGGTTGGAATTATAATCTGTGGATTATAAATTCCATTTGGTTGATATGTATATATCTTTTTCTGTAGATATTCATGCATATAACCTTGGTGGTCTGATCTATATATATATACTTGTGTGTGTGTGTGTATATATATATATATATATATATATATATATATATATATATATATATATATATATTTCGGATATATATATTGAATAATATTTTATATACTTCGTGTGTGTATATATAAATATTATTTTACGATATTAAATCAATTATTGGTTCATTATCACCAACATTTTTAGGTGCCTACTAGGGGAGAGAACACGAGAGAAAGAAGAAAAAAATAAGCACCATAAATAATGCGCGCGCCCACTGGACGCGTGGCATGCACGCGCCTGAATGGGCACTCTTGGTGCGTCTCACGCACACCAGAGAGCTGCTTTATTTTCTGGCGGGACCCAATATGTTTGTAAAAATAAAGGTACTTGTAGGAGTACCTTGAACACTCTCTCTTATTCACATAAGTCTTGAAACTGCGAAAACCATCTAAAATCTCCATATTGACATGGGGATGCTCTTAGGAAAGTTACTCTAAAATATGTCTAATTGAAATTTAATTGAATTACTAATATCGAAATTAGAAAACCATGGCAAAATACCCACAAGATGGAAAGACAATATGCAAGAGTGGACTAGTGGATAGGGGAGACAACTTGAAAAGCAACAAAAGCTGCATATATAATACTTTGTTTGGGAGTGTGAAGTATGAAGCATGCATAGGGTTACAAAACCCCACAAAAGAAAAAAAGAAAAAAAAAAGTGGTGCACTTTGATGATATGATGAAGAGAATATGTAATGTGCATGCTTTTCTCTTTTTTCTCATACACTTTTATCTTTTTGCTTTATGGATACTCGACACCATATGATACCCACCAACGTTTGTTCTTAAAACCCACCATTTTGTAAGGAGCTAAGGGACCTCACATGAACATATGGTTGAATAGGTACACCATGAGTTTCGTAGATAGATGATTTTGGCCATATTTGGTTACATAGTGAATTTATCAATTAATTTTAAGACTATTAATTGTTCGACTCAGTTAAATAATTAATATAAGTGTTTGATTAATTAATTTTTTTGTAATAACTTATTGCTTCAAAATACTAAAATTAAAAAAAAAAAAAAAAAACTATTCAAAGCAGCATTCAAATACCCAAGTTTTTCAGAATTTTGGGTCCCACCAAATCAGTGAAGGCAGCTGGACTTCTCGCGTGATCTGAAGCGCACAACAGGTACCCAGTTGGGCGCATGCAAGTCACGCGCCAGGCTGGGCGCGTAAATAAAGTTTTATTTATTTATTTTGTTTCAGGCCTGTTTTTTTTTTCTATTTCTTTTTCTCACATTTTCCTCTCTCCCCTCTCATACTTGGCACCTAAAAAATTGATCCAAAAACTTCACTATTGAGGATGCTCTAACAACTAATTTACCAAACATCTTTCTACAATTAGCTAATGTTATCAACTATTCAAACCTACTAATCCAATCAACTAACAGCTATTTACCAAACGCCCCATTTATATATTATTTGTGAGCTATTATACATTTATACAAGAGTGATTTACCTAATATATACTTCCAAATAGTGACGATAATTTTATCTTGTTACTCAATATATATTTCATATGAAATTATTCATGATTGGTTTGAATCTTGGAGTCTCACTAATCGCCATATGTAAATTCACCATATTTTGGAAGGTATATGTATATAGACATATAGATACCTACTAGCTTTATATTACTCAGTACTATACAATCTATTATTTTAATATGACAACAATAGACAAGATATTATATATACATTCAATCAATCAATCTTCTCTACTTTTACTATTGAATACGAAAACACTTGGGTCCTGCCTGATTCACAATTTTCAACAGGCCTTTATTAAAGCCCGATTACAGGCCCAATTCTTAAAAGACCTATGATGACATTTGTATTTGGGCTCACTGTTTTTAAATGTTTAAATTCTCTTAGAACATCTACGATAGTGAATTTTTAGATGGTTTTTGTAGGTTTTGATGCACATGTGAAGAAGAGAGAAGATTTGGAGTTTTAGTCGAAAGACATGGTTTTTATCTGTACAGTGGGTCCCATCAAAGTTGAAAAGGCTATTGTGTTTGTCGTTGAAGCACACTAAAAGCGCTAGTCGGGAACGTGCACTCCACATGCCCGCTGAGTGCATAATTTCCTTTGTTTTTTTTTTTAACCTTCAATCCCTTCTCTCTCTCTCTCATGTTTTCTTTCATAGTCACATCTGCAATAACTCCTCAAAATATATGCCCGATGAGGATGTTCTTATGAATATTTTCTTGGTATGTGCACACTTGGTAATTCAAGCTTTGTGAGGAGATAAACCAACATAATTAAATTGTCATAGAAAGTCAATAGACCGCTCTCACTGAAACTCAAACTTATAGCATTTTGATTACTAATTTAATATTTTGACCAATTTGATTGAAGTTGCCTAGTGTAGTTGTATTCTTTATCATTAAGGATATGCACTGTGAGGGGAAAAAAAGAAGAAGTATGGTTCTCTTAAAAAAATATTTTGAATTCAAATATTGTGAATAAGTAGTAAATGTTGAAACGATTCTATTCAAATAGATCAATTCAATAGAAAATCGAGTTCGAAAAAAAATTGTTATACCAAAATAATAATTGGATTGTTTGACAATTCAACACTTATAAAACCTACACACATACGGCAAGAAAGCCACCCACATCTTCAATAAGGTAACGTTACAACTTACCAGTCTTTCTAATGGAGTTTCAAAAGCTTAAACCTCAAAAAATAAATATTTAATTGAGATATCCTCACGCAATATAAATTTTTTTATATTGATATTATAAATACGTGTTGAGGTGACAAATGGTCGCTTGGTTAAATGTATGTTCCTAGCACCTTCGTTTGACATCGTTTTATAATGATCAGATTGAGATGTCTATCTAATTTGGGTGGAAATGTCCGACCTAGGTTAATAATCTTGTCTCCTCCTCATAATAATTAATGCATGTGCTTTAAATAGGTAGACTGATGGGGCATATGTAAGTCTTCAGCATGCTCTCCACATGTAATGCATAGGTTTGACAATCACGGTGACCATGCCAAGTGTCTTGACGATGTTGATGGCTTGACGGGACGTGATGTGATCGCATTTTCTGCTCAGTCAGTAAATGTGGGATCTGTTGTGGATGATGAGGGCCTAGCGTGTGGCCAGTTTAGTTACCTTCCCAATCAAAGCTGACTAGGAAATGTTCCTAAGTTTTAAGTTAAGTACTCCGTATCATATATGATATGGTATGCAGTGTGGTCGGAAGACCTTGTCCGGACATCTGTTCGACCTAAACTGGTTCGAGTTGGACGTATTTTTACCACTATAGAACCAATTTGAGTTGTACACGTAGAATTGGAAAAAGAAAAATAATCTAGTTAGTCTAATTAGGGTTTTAATTAATCTTTTTTTTAGTGAGAAAAGTAAGGTTAGGGTAAAAATAAGAATGGTGAGTCATGGGGGCGTTGACTTTGTCTTGTGTCTGATTTTGTAACGGCGGCGGGGCCCAGTTTTGCGGCTCCCTACACTACACTGTCTTTGTAGTCCAACGTTGGCAAAACATCTTCACATTTCTTTCATGACAGCACCTGACCTCCTTCTACTCTACGACGTCGTTTCACCTTTCTCTTCCGTTTCCACCCGCCTCTCCCTCTGCAAGAAGCCCTAATCATTACCTCCTCAAATTTCCACTTCACTTCCTCTCCAATGGCCTCTGAAGAAATGGGCCTTTTCTCGGCCCAACGTCTCGATAACGGGCTCAATCCACACCCCCAGCTCGTTTTCCCTGAGAGCTTCAGCTGCGGCCCACCGCCGCCGCCTCCTCGCCGTGATTCCGCCGCCGCACCCGCTGCTTCTGCTTCCGCCGTTGGTGACCCCGGTCCGAAAACCACGCGTGAGCTCACCGGATTCCTCGACCACCACAACTACTTCCGCCCCCAGCCGCAGCAGGCCACCGAGTTCCGCGGCGGCTCCGTGTTCGCCGACCGCCGGGATTGCCACAACTGGAACACCAGTAGCCGAGCCTCCACCACTCCCAGCGGCGACGGATCGGAGGACGATGAAGACGACGACGACGAGGATGATAATGAAGACGAGAATGAAGCCGAAGGCCGCGCGCTTGTTGTTAGTCACAACAATAATAGTAAAGTTAATAACAACAGTGATAAAGTTGGAAATCAGAAACCTAAAGACATACCTAATTTTGGTAAGCTTCTTTTATTTGTTTTCAATGGGGGAAAGGTGAAGTTGATTAAAATTCATTGAAAAATCCAATCTTGGAAATCTAATGTTGTTTTTTTTCTGTCTTTTGTATTGGATAAGGTTCGACAGTTGCAGATGAAGCAAGAAATGCAGTGACAATTGCAGATGCCAATGGGACAATTTATTACTCACAGTATTTGCAGGGGACAGGAGTGAGTTCAGGTCAAAAGGATATTGTGGTGATTGATAATGGATGTGGGTTTAGTGGGAGAAAAGAGAGTTCATATTCAAGTGAATCTGGGGAGTCCTTGAGAGCAATCCTTTCTGATCCTATAACGTATGTTTTCGTTTTCTGCATAATTCTGTTCTTAGTACTGTTTTGTTAAACTTGCTGCATAAATGATTAGTTGTCTTACCTTAATGCAATAAAAATTAAATCTTGGTATTCATAATGTTCTAAGTGGAGTGATGTAAGGTCCTCTCCTAAGGTTGTTGAAATGAGAAACAAGGTTGATTGTCAAAAGGGCAACCCCGACCAAGCTGGTCACACTGTTGACTTGGTAACAGAAGTTCAACTCCCAGTGGGAGCAGCCTATTGACCTTCTTGGATTAAGCCGGTCTGTTATGGGCAACCCAAGCTGGTTTACCCCACTTGTGGTCATTTGCCAGCTAGAGTCATAAGGCAAGTTTACTGCACCTTTGGATAGTGGTTGCAGGTTTCCTCGTTACTCAAGGTGGATTGTCAAAAGGCCCAAAGTTGGCAATTGCGGGTGAAAATGGTTAGGAGAATATTTGCTAAAGTTGTTTTTTTTTTTTTTTTTTTTTTTTTTTTTTTAGTTTGCATCTCACGGATGTAGAATGCGTTTTCTTTGTTTCTAGGCTTCTAGCTGAGAACGGTCAATATATAAAATTAGACAAAGAGACGAGTTATATGTTCTCTATATATTTTATTTCTATTAATGTGGTTGACATGGTTGATGCTTGGTAGCTAGCACATAAGGAAATAGCACTAGTTGGGGATGAGAATCCCGGGATAATTTTATGGAACATATTAGGGTTTGATCTGTGTTGTATTGACTTACTTCCAAACATGTTGCCTGTGCTTAATTAGCTCTAATATCTTGTCGAGTGATGCATTGGATGATTCTTTCGTTTTGCTAATACAGAGGTGCACTTATGGATGATGGTGTGATATTGCCTTGTGGGCATTCCTTTGGTAATGGTGGAGTAGAACATATAATTAGAACGGTGAGTCTTCAGAAAATGTTATTTATAAATTACTTTTTTTTTTTTCCGAGTATCAGGCCATAAAAACAAATCACTACTAAAATCTTTGTTTGCTAGGCTTTTCTAGCCCGAGACTTTTGATTCTCTTTCTCTACTGTCAATATTTTCTTTCCTAATCTGATTACTATTTTTAAAGAACGAATCTGGTTCTGGAATAAGTATATTTCTCATGCGATTAGACAATATCTTTGGTGCATTTCCAGAAAGCTTGCTATAGTTGTGCACAACCCGTGTCTGAGGATTCAGTGGCCCCAAATCTTTGTAAGTATTTGCTTGGAATTTGGCTTTTGGATTCTGAAACTGTAAATAGGGTGGCAGAATAAAGGGTCGTGCTATTTTTGTTTGGGGACAGAATATTGCCAACATATTTGCTTCCTTTTTAAGATAAGAGTAATGAAATTGTAGAAAAACGAAGATGAAATAAGCTATATTTTCCTCTTTCATTAAAGTCTGCTGATTTGTTGTTTCCTTGGTATACCTGTGTAGCTCTCCGGGCTGCTGTCCAGGCATTTCGTAGAGAAGAAGAGTTACAAGTTAATCGCCCGCCAAAAAGAAGAAAGGAAAGACCCGAGCAGGTTTACAGATGTTTCCTTTGTCTTTATATAAACTGCTGAAAATTATGGAATTTCTGACCACCTGAAAGTGATCTTAAATCAAGTCGAAAGCCTTGTTCAGACCACTTTTGGTATCCGGAAAAACCTTTGTTGCTATTTCGGACCACTTTTTGCTTTCGACGATATATGATTTCCCGACTCATTAACCATGCTAGGCTAGTTGTTTAGGTTTAAATCGTTGCATTTAAGAGAGTAACGCCTTTGTAATTACTCGTGTAGGAGAAGGGAACGTCTGGTGATTCAATGCTCGGAGACCATCCGAGAAGAGGAGTGCAGTTTCCATTTGTCGTGACTGACAGGGTCATAATAAAGGTTCTAAAGTCCCAATTTTTATCAATATATATATTATTCCTCGATGAGTTCCAGAATTAAGAATTAATGAAACAGGGTAACAAGCGGACACCACTGCGTTTTGTTGGACGAGAGGCTGTTGTCACCACTCAATGCTTGAATGGATGGTAATTATCTCCTTCCCCCTTTAAAGAATCCATCGTATTCTTCTTGCAAATACTCGTGCCTTGATTCCCAAGTTATCTATACAGGTATGTGGTCAAGACATTGGACAACGCAGAGAGTGTAAAATTGCAGTATCGTTCCCTTGCAAAGGCGCCAGATCGTTCATCCTCGCAAACTATCTCGAGTAGCAAGACAGCCAACTGGCTGTAGTGTCGTTTTTCTCAGTGTAATCTAGCTTTTGTATTCTTTAAATGACTGCCAGCAAGGGGGTATAGATGTATATTCTACAGAAATCAATGTAATATACACAAATGAGGATAGAGATGTGAATGATTGATACACAAGTAAAATTTGCTTTTATTTCCAGAAAAAAAAAAAAAAGAATTCCTTTCAACAGTTACTGTTATGCAAACAAAAACAGGGATAGGATAATCTGAGAGAGCATTATGGAATCGTTCGAAAACAGGGTAGATTCTCCATGGATGATAGAAAGTTGCAGGTTGAATAAATGGAGGCTGCTGCAGCTCTAACAGCCAAATCCCTCTCAGAAGCTTTGTCCAATCTGAATCATGAAAAGAGGGTGAAATTATTATTGGTTTTTCACCAGGAATTCTATGTTAGTGGCAACATAAACACTTACTTGTGTTCATTGGGAATGGGGAATGCAGAAACCTCATATTTTAGAAGGCCATGCTCACATTGCAACTGCATTTCCCTTACTTTTTCCTGCAAACTTTCCTGAAATGAGTGCGGAAAAAGATTCAGAAACTAGAACGAGGGTGTTCCTGGTAATCATCCCAAAAGCTCGGAAACTAGAACTAGGATAGCAAGAAAACTCACCAGTTGAGATTCTTCTTCAAGTAGAGATTTATCCATTTGATCGAATAATGCACTCCATCTAGCATGATGTGCAGTAGCAGTAGAGTTGTCACATTGAACAATAGAACTATTTGCACTGCAAGACTCATTCTCTTGATTAGAACCAAAATCTTTCGAGATTAGGCAAGGAAACTCTGTCTGGATAACAGCTTGGACTCTCTTCCTACTGCGTCTCAGCGCTGAAAATGTATAGCAGATTAGTACGAGGCTCCCTTAAATCCGACGCCCAGAAGTAGGGATGCATACCTGCAAGACGACCTTTAACGTCTTGATTAAGCAATTCGAGCCATTGTGAGGCCACGTTAGCAGCTAAAGATCAAAGTACAAATAAGATTAGTTCATGGAACCTTTCTGTTATGACATTGAAATTGTAAGAAAGTAAACAGGAAGCAAAAACCGACCTTTGATGGAAAGTGAAGTAACACTAGTTGGGTTTGGTGTCTCATCGTTAGACAACGAACTGGTATTATCGGATATGATAGTTGAGGCCAACGAAAGCTTCAGGGAGAGCATGTCATCCTTACAGTGCCCGTAGAAGTTTGAAGGGTAAGTTGTCAGATCAAGAACACTTGTTGGAAACGATGCAGGTTCGTTAAAAACATCATTTCTATTTGTACTTTCTACTAGGTCTTTTCTTTTGCCTCTAGTGCGTTGGCTTTCATGTTTTTCAGATCTCACGAGAGCCTCGATGATGGAGTGAACCTGTTTTCTGTTCCTCACATGGTTAATGATCCCGGGATTCAATCCATTCAACAACCCACTAGGAGCTGCAATCTTTGCAAACTGGTCCATGCATTCTTTCTTTGCAAGCTCTATCTTCTTCTTCTCCATTATCCCTTCATTTCTACTCTTCCTTCCATGTGGCTTTGGCACCTGTATGCTTGCATGAGAATACGAGCAAAACCCGTTTTGTTTCATTTCATTCCACGCCCTGAATGACGAATCTTTGCTCCCCAATGGGGCAAAAGAACTCGCACACTCAAACTCATCCCTTGATTCACCATTTTCACCATCTTTAGAAGGACAAAAAGGGTCATGATTAAGTGAGCTAGAAACAACTTCTTTGTTTAAATCCAAGCCAAATCTTCTGAACTTAAACGAGGCCTCCCTATCCCTTCGATCAACGTCTGCTGCAATATCATCACCACTAACCCCATTGCAGGAAGAGCCAAGAGTTGCATTGAGATCAAGTGCTATGGCATCCCTTCCATTTCTTTCTGTTTGGGCAAAACCAAAGGTAAGTGCATCAGTTTCTTCATTTGTGTACATATTTTGCATTCAAATCCCAGTAGCTGAGAGGCATACCATCATTGCAAAACACAGGATGATCATAAGTAGTGACAAACCATTGAAAATATCACCTTAAAAATGAATCAAACAGCAGGAAAGAAACCAAGTATATCATTCAATCTAAACACAATACATATCCTCACTGACAATTCAATATTTTAGTTGAAATGGAACATACATTTCACATTTTCCCATCAATTGCAGCATTAACTGAAACATATCAATCTATGCAAAGGTGTTAGGTTGACTTGGAGACAGTGAAAAACAGCAAATGGAATAGATTTGGATACCTTCAGAACGGAAAACTGATTCAAGATCCCTCATTTTCACTCTTTTGTGACGAAGCTCTGATCTTTCTTCAACTTCCATACTTTCTCTCTTCTCTCCCACCATAATCTGAACACAGAGAAACCCAAGGATCCAGCAATTAAAATTCCAGAACCAAAAAAATCTGCAAAAGAGCGCCAAAAAGCAAACCAGCAAAGGAGAAGACAAACCGAAACCTTCGACCCAGATCTTGTTTCCCTCAGAGACTGATCATCAACTCCAAATTTATCTCCCATTAGTACCCACCAGAAAAAGCTTTCAAAATCTGGGCTCAATTCCAAGGCTTTAGCGTTGAACTTGACTTAAGCCGAGATTTAGGAGAGGAAAAGAGATGGTTTTTGTGAGTCTGTGGATTGAAATGGGTATGATTGGCGTTTGAATTTTGAAGATGCTAAAGCGAGAGGAGATTGAAAATGGAAAAATGGTACGGTGGGAAGGGAATGGTTTTTCAGTGTTGTTTGGATTTGAATTTGCAGAAGAGCGCGCTGACAATCCGCTCCTTTTTATCAGTTTTTTTTTTTTTTCATTTTATTCCATGGAGAGCGGCGGATCATTGGATTAATCGAAGTTCGAATCTTTTAAGGTTGGATTTTCAAATTCAAATATGGTTTACTTGAATGGCATGGATAAGATAGCGTAAGTCTCTTCTCTCTAACTTCTTGATTTTGAACCTTACAAATACAGCTACCTTAAAACTTGATTTCTTTTTTTTTTTTTGAAAACTCTTAAAACTTGATCTTAGTAATACTTTTGTGTGGTGTTCTAATACCATGTTTTACTAGTTTACTTCAAGTCTTCAACTAATCGGTAAGCATATCGTTAATGTATCAATAGGGCCGAATGAGTCAACTTTTAGATAAATTTATTTAACCATTGTAAATTATGTATCATGTTAACAAGTTTTGAATGAGCTAGATCTTTTATTAGATTTTTTTTTTTCATGCTACCATGCATTTGCAAGGTAGACTAATTCAAATAAGTTCGATCAGACTCAATGAATACTTATATTTCTTATTACTCACCTTGAAAGACCATTAACATCTCGCTAAATGTGTATATATCATTTATACTCAATGTTTTGAGTCATGTACTTTGATCATGCTCCATTTAGAACAATCATCTTAAGACTCTTGTTGCGTATATATAAATTCAAATTATTAACTTTATACTTGTATAAGAAATTTTAAATTTAATGCTAATTCCTCTTAAACTTCAAAAAAAAAAACAAAAATTCTAAAAAATTGGCGCGGTAGGCATTTGAGAGCGTAAGTAATAATTAGTGCCGCAAAGATTCCTTTTTCCCCAACTTTTTCGGCGGGAGATTGAGATAAAGCTTATTTATTTATTAAATTAAACTAATAATTTTTTATTTTTATTTTTTTTATAAAAAATGATATTGTTTCTTCTTGAATTGTATGTTTATAGTAACATTTGTCCCCTCATCTATATTAAAAGTAAAAGTGACAGTCTTTTCTCTCCCTTTTATGTACCTAACTAAACACTGTAACAGTAAGAATAATTTTACGATTTAAAATCCAAAAAAATAAAATAAAATAATTATTGAATAGATAAAAATGTCCATTGTAACTTTTAATATAACTAATTGACAAATGTAAATACATGAATAATACAATAAAAGAAGTGCTATATAAGCATATAACAATAAAAAGTAAAATTTTCCCTATTTTCTAAATTTTTACAAGATTAATTCCTAAGAAGTGATCACTTTGGTCTAAGCTAATTTGGATGGAAAATGTTGAATATATTCCAATATTCCACCCATCCATCTTAAGCAGGTCAAAAGTGATAATCATACGTCTCAAAAACAATTTGAGAATAAAACAACTTAGAAGTAGTGAACTGAGAAAGAGCAGTTTCCCTAAAACTAGTCACCCTAATCAAGCTAGAATAGGTGCAATACAATCCCAATCCTATTCCACCGCTAACCCTAGTCGTCTTCATCAAGTAACAAATCGGACTACTTCCATCTCCGCCGCCACCGCCGCCTCTTCCCTGCACCACAATCCCCCATATCCTAGTCTCCGCATCTTCATCGTCATCTTCTTCTTTTACAAGCTCTTCAACAAAAATGATCCCATCAGGCAATCTCCTCTGCCCTTTTTCCCATTCCATCATTATCCCTTCCCATTCGTCCTCCACCGCGTGCGCCGCCGTGATCTCCTCCCCGTCGGCGTAAACCTGGACAAGCAACGGAGCTTTCTTGATGTTCTTGACGATTTCCGCCACCGACCCAATCACCCACTTCTCCAGTCTCTTCTCTGTAATTGCTTCACCCCTGCCGCCGCGGCCGCGGCCGCCGTCCCTTTCTTGGCGGTCCACCGCCGGGAAGTTTGGTATCATTAACGGCGGGGAAACACGACAACAGAACCGTTCCTGCAGGGGTTTCTTGGGGAAGATCAGCGATGGGTTTGGCTGATTAGGCGCCGATTGAATCCCGTTCGGGTTCACCGGAAACATCGAACGTGTTGTTCCTGAACAAATCTTGAACGACGACGGCGCCGCCATGGATATATATATATATATATATCAGAGACAAGATCGATCAGAAAGGCGTTTGAGGTTTCGGGGAGGCCGGGGGGATTACTTATAGTGTGAAAGATTGGAGTTTGCGAAGGTTAAGTTTCCTAATAAACGTGGGATTGTGATTTTGAGTGCGAAGGGGAAAAGGTTTCCCGTGGCCGGAGATCGAGCGGCGAAGCTAAAATACGTGCATGGCGAGGTTGGCCATGCGCTAGCGTGTGCTGTTCAAGATATCGCGCGTGTTTCATCGGATGACGTGGCATTATCTACTCACTATATAGATAGGATTAGGCATTATATTTAATTTGTTTATTTTTGAGTTTTAATTTATTTACATTCTCAAGTTTTAATCTCTTATTTTTTTTTTTTTCTGAGGTGACAAATAGGATAAAGTTATTTTCATCATGTAGATTCTAAAAAATTGTTGATATCTAAAATTTAAGAGTGAAAGTACAAAAGGAAAGTCCATATAATATTTTTTTTAACCATGTTTAACTAGTTTTAAAAAGTTCACATATGAGATATTTGTGAATTATTACACATATATTAAGTTTATCTAGTACATACGTTCTAATAATGACGGTTGGTTTCTCTCCTAATTTAAAAAAAAAAGTTAATAAAACTTTAATTTTAATCAATTATATTGGCATCACATACCTACCCATACATAAATAGGACCAATTCTCCTCATAATAACATTATTATATATATTCCAAAACAAATATTATTCTTATCATGCTACTCCAATTCTCCTCATTATATTCAAAAACAAAGATTATATTCTTAACATGTTACTTGGGTTGCCTTTTCCGGTGAGAAGGCGACTCCGGAGAAGGCAACCCACTGGACTGCCTTCTCACCGGAGAAGGTGATGGGAATTTTTTTTTAATTAATATTTTGATTGTTAAAAAAATAAAAAATAAATATTAATATTTGATAACATTTAATGATGGTAGTAGAAATAGTACTTTTTTATTTGCACTACCTGTAAAGCTATTACACCTATTAAAAAGGTGGTATAAATAAAATTTCTCAAATCATTATAACTATTTTGTTTAACTAACTTGATTGAAGTTACCCCAGATGTTGACACGTTTCTTAAACTAACCGTTCTAAATACTCAGGCACCATATTATACAACTTAAATTACAAAGATTAGGAAAAAAAAAAACACAAAAAAAAAAAAAAAAAAAAAAAAAAAAACTAACTTCAAACCTTAGTAGGTATATCTGATATATTTATCTCTTGCACTTTAACCAGCATCATCACCTGCAGCCCCTGCAGGCATAGTAGCATGGGCACCAGACGAAATCGCAGCCGCAGCATCTTGTGCATCGGACGGTGCAGGTTGATCGAGCAAAGATCGGCGGCACGTCGGGCAAGAAGAGTGTGAAGCCAGCCACCTATCAATACACCTTACATGAAACCCATGGCGACACTTAGGCAAAACTCTAACCTTCTCGCCATCCACGAACTCCCCCAAGCAAATCGGACAGTCGGTGGCCGGAATATCCACTCCGGAGCCGTAAACCGCCACCGGAATCTCCCTCAGCCGGCTCCTTTTCACCCCGCCGCCGCCCGCCACCTCCTCCTCCTCCGCGAAAGAAAACCTTCTGCTAAACCTCATGGCGCACCGGAGAATCGAGTTGAGCCCCAGGGCGCAGATGAGAGCGCAAAGCAAAGACGCTAGGATGACCACCATGTTAGTATCAAAGCTTGCTTCGTTTCCATAGCCATGGCGGATAATCCTGCTGCTCCCATTTTTGTGCTGCAAATCCACACGTTTATCCAGCAGCAGCCGGTGCGGGCGGTGATAAAAATCCATTCTTTTTCTCTGATTCTTCAAACTGTGAACTGAAATTCTATCAAATACCCTTTTCAAGATTTGGGAAGAGCGCAGCACTCCAAAAAACCATGATTATGATCAGGCCATGTAAGCAGAGGCGGCTGGTTTTCTGAGATGAAATTCTGAAGCAAACCGAACGACAAAGGAGATGGAGAGAAGGGAGTTCATCATCTTCCTCCTCGGACTGATCGAGACCAGATTAATTGCAGGCTGCTAGCTAGCTAGTAGGGAAGTTGGAGCAAGAACTGATGAAAGATATAGGATTTGTTCATGGCAGAAATTGGTGCAAGAGGATTGGAAACGCATTAGACTATTTGGTGGACCAAATGAATTGAAGGGACATAATAATAATAATAATTAAATATTATTTGCACATATAGTCATATAGAAAAATAGTTTCGTTACCTTTACAAATTTTAAACTACAATCTTTCTCTGTTTATACTGTTCCATAGAATCTTTTTAGTGTGGTTTATATATCTAACATGTATAATTTATAGATTATTACACATGAACAGGCAGAGGGTATATGCTCGAATAGTACGTGATTGCAAATTTTCCTCGTCTTTTAAAAAACACCAATAACATTTTATTAAGCTCGTGTTATAATATATATGTGGGTTGATAGGATTAGATTTATAAAATATTTATCAAGCAAAAATATACTATACCAAAAGCAAAAGTGATATTGATTTTTGGTTACTTGTCATTTCACATTCATCTTTAACGTAGAAGGGCTATAATTGTTCTCTCAAAAGGTTGAATTTCCAACTCTAAGGGTCCCTCACGCTTCGGTCTAGTCCGATAGAGCATGTGAGAGGAGGCAAATAACGGTAACTCAGTGACTCAGCAGACATGACCAAATGCCAGTACCACAAGGAATTTGCTCAAAGGCTCTAGTTGATACCTCAAAATGATGTCAAGTGGGTGAAGTATGATCATTTTATTAAAAGGTCATACGTTTGATACTTGTCAACACATTTTCAGTCAAATTCGCCACACAGAGTCTTTCTAGTATAATTTACCGCTCATGCTTAAGTTGCATATCATAACACTGAAATAGAGTTTACTCATTATATACTCTCAAATAAATAGTGGTTACAATTTGTCATTGTCATCCAACAAAAAAAAAAAAAAAAGACTATAATTGATTAATTTAATATGATGAAAACATTTATAACAAAGTAGAGGATTAGAAGGGATATATATGATGCTTGAGAATAAGGTAAGGTATCCGATTCCCCATTCACAATTACTTCACTCAATAAATTAACATGTTAAAAAGTTGCATATTCTTCAACACCAAATCATTCCCCCACTCTAACCCTACAAATTTTCAAGAGCCACATTTACAAATCAAAAGAACAATAAATAGTTGTATAGTATAAGCTTTAATTAGATATTTGAAAAAAATCTACAACTTTAAACGCACTAAAAAAATCAAATTTCTTATGTATGTACTAATATATATAGGTAAATAGCTTGCCTGTTTGCATGTAACGAATATCATTGAATTATTAAAAAAAGTAACATTACTAAATTTGATTTTTTACATCGCTTTTTGCTATTTTTGACATATAGATATATAATATTCTTTATATTTTGTTTGTAATTAATAGGCTTATCATCAACGTTTTTTTTGTTGTTGCAACATTTGTTGGAGTTGACCGCCGTGTTGTTGCTTGTTCTTGACATCACATATTGATCGAGTTTTTGGTCCTAATATTCCTTTTTACTTGAATTTATGAAAAAGTCAGCCGCTTCTATTCAAAGATGCGCTCTCTTGCAACCGGTCTATATATATATGAGTCAAATTTAGAACATTTTAGTTGCTAAACCAATTGTCTAATCAACTTGATCTCGCATGTGTTGCCCACTTCCCCCCAATATTCTTCTCTACTATATCATATCATAAGATATATAATAAGTTCATTTTTACTAAATAATTAGAATAAATAATATCTTCTTTTGCAATCATGCATGCATAGTCAACTCTATGCGGATTAGTTAATTATTGTTCGTTTAATGAATATGAAAGCTATTAATCATGCAAGTCACTATTTTTTCATAGTACATATATAGTCAAAGGTTGTCTTAAATCCATTGAACTGTTTGGTGTTTACTTTATGACATGAGATAGATAAGTAGTGCATCATGTGCAGAAGACATTAATGGTGGAGGATTATTGCTTGTGTGATGGAGAATTGAGGTGGTTCATAGAGCTTTCCTTCTGCCTAGGCAACAACTATGTGCTAGAGTTGCATAGGTTTCACGATCACGTTAAACTTATGTTACGTTATTTTGTTTTGTGATTTAAAAATATGTACGATTAATTAATAAATATATGATATAAAGACTTATTTGTAATTTTGTATAGGGATTAGGGTGATTTTGAATATGTTTGAGAGTAACCCTAGCCCTAGGGCTAGTATCATGAGCCAAGTTTTTGGTATTGGCTTAATTCATAACTACATCTAATTATTCATTAAGCGAGTTTTTAAAGATTATTTAAATTTAATTTTTTTATATGTCATATTGAAATAATAATAATAAAAAAAAAACTTAATTAGAAAAATTGCGACAAACACACTCTAAAATCATATGGTCTCAGGGGGGTTTTATATTTAATGGTGTGTATTTTCTCAACATGCAAGTCTAGGGTCATATGCCTTTAAGAATGACCTTACACCTGATGATATAGTTTTCACAATATGTAAATTGAGAGACTTTATATATACCCGATAGTGAGTCCGTCTTCCACAACATGCTGACCAAGAATAGTCTAAGCCCTCAAGATCGAGGGACCTTACAATCTTATGCCACGTATTCCACAACATGTAAACCAAGAGTCATTTACCTTCAAGATCAACCTTATACATATCTATTAGCGGATCTTCCCCAACATGCTAACCAACAATCGTTATATCGTGGACCAGGATCCACATTGCATATATTGTAGACCCTGATCCAATACACAGAATTCATGTTCATAATACACATCCACATAAACAATATATAATGAACATGAATTATGTGTATTATATAGCTGATGACACATAGACACTTAACATAATACACATAATCTGCCCAACTAATCATCTAAATAAAAGATCAAATTCTAACATTCAACAAATATACCAAGATTTGAGATTTGGTCGAACCTCAAAGTCCACGAGACTCCCACCGGGCATCCGGTCGAAACCTTTTCTGGTTACTGGTCACAAGAGTCAAACCCACCGCTAAACTGAAACAGTTAACAATTACCGCTACTATACACTCAACTGTACTTCCGCCATTATTATTGGTTACTACGCTTTCCTGTTTCTTTCATTGCACCTCAAAAGCTTCGTCCTTTTTGTCCTCTGAATCTTCCCCAACAAAAGGGTTGTTTTGTTTGTTTGTTTTCTTGCATTTTTCACTCCCATCAAGATGCAAGATCCATCAGGTTCGAAGCCATCGGCCAACCAAACGCCGCCGTTTCCCTCTGCATTCCGGCAATCGCACCACCGGAGGGCTCACTCCGAAGTCAACTTCCGTCTGCCGGAGGATCTGGATCTGGCGTCCGACCCCTTCGACGCCGCCGCGCCGGCCGGGAGCTTCGAGGAGATGGGATCCGAGGACGATTTCTTCTCTACTTACATGGACATCGAGAAGCTCGGCGCCGGATCCGGCGCCGCCGATGCTTCTGCGGCGGCGGGTGTTGACAATGCAGGCTGCGATGGCGGTAATGGGGTGAAGAGCTCCAGCCGGCCGCGGCATCGCCATAGCAACTCGGTGGATAGCTCCGGCTTACTGCTTGGCGATGGCGGCATTGAAGCTAAGAAATCTATGGCGCCTGATAAACTGGCTGAGCTCTGGACCATTGATCCCAAAAGGGCAAAAAGGTAGCAACTTTACCACTTTCCTACTATACCCATTGTTTTGGATCTGTGAATTTTCATGGCTATAATCATTGATAACTGACAGACATTCATCATAGTATACAATTAACTGTTTGTGACATTTAAATTCCTGTCTGTCTATTTGTTGGGTGATTTGTGCATCATTCTTGAAATGAGTTTCCCTAGTTGTGTCTCGAATTGTTACGCAAGTATAATGAAATAAAATTGTGTCTTCCCCGCTAGCTATAACGCATAATCGACACCTAATTTGTGCAAATTGTGCATCATTGTGTGATTTTTGGGAATGTTGTGCAGAATTCTGGCAAATAGGCAATCTGCTGCTCGATCGAAAGAGCGCAAGGCGCATTACATGTCTGAGCTTGAGAGGAAAGTTCAGACCCTTCAAACAGAAGCAACCACTCTTTCTGCACAGCTCACCCTATTCCAGGTTGGTTACAGTATCCTTGGACCGATCGAGTTTCTCTGCTTCAAAATTATGATGCCTAAAACAACATAGTTCCTGTTTTCGTACATGTTTTTCTCTACATATGAAATGGTATCATAAGCTTTATAATGTTTTCGAAGGCTCTATTTGTGCCAAAATGTGCTGAGCTTTGGATTTCCCGGAGTTCCAAAACAAAAGTATTTTTCTATTCCAAGTAAACTCGTGGGGAAAACCTACTTGCAATCTTGTTCTACTAAAAAATGTTTTGATATGGTACCATTGTTTGGAGCTCTTATCAATGCATGAAACTACATTGTAAAGATCATTCCTTTGAATTTAGATTTTTACTGCTTTCCAACATACAGTCTCCGGGATCCAATACTGTAAAAATCATAACTTTATTTTTTTGCAGAGGGATACGACTGGTCTTACTAATGAGAACACTGAGCTTAAGCTCCGTTTGCAAGCCATGGAACAACAGGCTCAATTACGTGATGGTATGTTTTCTGCAAGGCCTCATTTTTCAGGACATTTTCTTGCCTATGCAGCTTGTTATGGTCATTTGTGTTGAGCATATAACCATTAATGTGCAATCCAACTATCAGCTTAGGCATTTGGTATCAGAGCCAGACTAAAAGTCATGGGTTCAAATCTCTAACAAAAAAACAGAACTTGAGCCCAACCACCTTAAATGCATGTTAGAATTGTTAACAACATGTTGATCTTTGGTATCTGTTTCGAAAACACAGCTTTAAACGAAGCACTGAAGCAGGAGGTTGAGAGGCTCAGAATAGCGACTGGTGAAATGGCAGCCCCGTCTGATGCATACAATTTTGGAATGCAACATATTCCTTATAACCAATCAACCTTATTTTCTTCGCATCAACCACAATTAGGCCCGAGCGACTCCCAGAATATGCAAATGCCACAGTATCATCCTCTCGGGTCCAACATATCTACGCCCCATCACCCCATTCTTGCAGGAAACCACGCACAGGCTCTCCTGCATACACTGAACCAGGATCCTCTCGGGCGCTTCCAGGGTCTTGATATCAATAGCAGCGGGTCCCATTTCATCAAGACCGAAGTTCCTACCATATCTGCCAGCGAAAGCAGCAGTACATTCTGATCGCAAGCTCTCCCTATTTATTGAATTGTTCATAGACTGACACCATGTTTAACATCCCGGGAACTCACTGTTCTTCGATTATTTTTAGATTCTTACCTTCGACTTAGTAGTAGCAGTATGTTATATTCTTTGATGTTGTTGTGGCAGTGGGTTTCTTTGATCTTTCTTTTGTTTCTTCTTTGTATCAATCATGTAATACTCAACTCATTGTTGAACTCTCATGCATTGTATCATGTGGAAGCCTTGACTATTGTGCTGATTAATTCTACTGTTTAGATATATTATCCAAGATTTGATGTTACTTTCAGACAAGAACAGTAAAACCATGGTGGTTGTAACCTAGTTAGAATGAAAAGAGCCAACAAATGTTTCTCTGGCTAGCCATGTGTGTTCAATATTGGTTTAGTGCTTCAATGTAGACCAAGGCTGATAAGTGAATTGTCCATGTTGAAGAGCTAATTTTAACTCTCATTACCTTGTTAAAATAAGTATTGGACCCTAATCCCGAGAGTCTCCACATACTCTTGTCCTAGAGTCTGATTGCACCACAATCATGAGAGTCTCCATAAACTCTTGTTCTGAAGTCTAGTGCGATGAGGAAAATCGTGTAATGTTGACACAACCTATAAGTTCTCCAAAGGCTTGTCCTAGAGTCTTATTGCATCACAATCTCGAGTGTCTCCATATACCCTTGTTTTGAAGTTTAGTGGAGGAGGTAAATCGCAGAATGTGCCTCAACGGCCTCCACATACCCTTGTTCTTTAGCCTAGTGGAGGAGAGGAAATGTCCTTCAACGGCCTATAGGTCCTCCAAAGGCTTGTCATGGAGTTTGATTGCACTTCAATCGTAAGAGTTTTCTTATACCCTTGTTGTGAAGCTTAGTGGATGAGGCCCTTGTTTTGAAGCTTAGTGGATGATGTAAATCACGATATATATGTTTCGGCCTATAAGTTCTTCAAAGATTTGTCTTAGAACCGAAATGCACCATAATTCTGAGTCTCCATATACCCTTGTTCTGAAGCCTAGTAGAGGAGGTAAATTGCCGAATCCATTGCAACATCCCTTTCACAACAAGTCAATTATGTATCTCTACCTCGATAGAAATCAAACCTTACACTCTACAACTCTTAGCAAAAGAGGACGTTCTCTTTTTTTTTTTTTTTTGGCCATACTGGGTGTTACTGGTCTTTCTCCATCCGTCTTACGGTCCCAAGGAGAATCGTCACTTGTGGGAATTCAACCCGAGTTATCCCAAAATTCTTTTCTACAAAGAGAGCTTATTTGCCACTTGAGTTACTCTGTTGGGTTAATTTCTCTTATATATGTGTAAATGTTTGGTTTAGAGAGTGAATTTTGTAAAGGAATATAATATTATTACAACATTATTATTTTTTTTAAGAAAATATACTTTGTTAAAACATATTTTAACAAGGATAAGGAAATTATGTTTAAATTAATGATAATTTTTTAATCATGATTTGATAATTAAGGGCTATGATTAGATCTTGACTTGATATAAATTTGTCCAAATCATTAATCATATCAAAGATTCCCTTTTCACCTAATCTCAACTTGATACGTACATTGTTAGAACAATCAATCATGGATGTATGTGCATTATGAAGAGAATAATGATTGTAAACTTAATAAATTGTCAATACTTGTTTAATTAAAAAAAATCCATTCATGCATGAAAATAAAGTCGACTCTCAAATATGATGTACAACCTACCTTAACAACTAATTAATTGTATCGGTGTGAAGTTATCACATTTCAATTCATTATTTTATAGTTTTTCTGTTGTATTTGTTTATAAAGTCTAATATTTCATTACTTGTAACAAAACTCTTTGAATTTAATCATTTGGAGCATTTTTGTTTTTAAAATTTTGGTCCAAATTAAAGAATATCTTATCCACGCTTTTCTTCGGCACATTAAAATTTATTAAAAATTATCACTGAACTTATAACTTAACATTAGACTCAGATTTTTCAAAAAAAAAAAAAAAACATTAGAATCAGACTATTAATATAATGTTTGACAAATAACTTAAAAAATAACTTTTGAACTTGAAAAATGACACTTAATTTCCTTCTTCAATTAAGGCCATGCACATCAAACAAGGGGTTTTATGTCAAATTTCACTAGGAGCGATCATAGTCGGATTATAAATCATATATAGCCAAAAAAAAAAATTTGATATCGATTTTTTTTTTTTTTTTTTGGAGAGAAACATCAATATTTTAAAATGCATATTATATTTAATTTAATTTAATTTAGTCGTAGTTATTGTCTACTTATTGATTATATTAATAATATTTGTGAATTAATTTAAAGATTATAATACATTATAAACTCACGATTTTAATTATTTAAAAAAATGGACATTTAATCCGTAATGTACGCTTCTTGCATGTTCCTCTAACGTGGTAGGACCATACTATGAAATCGTTTAGTATAGTTTTAGGTAATATGAAGTACTACTTAATAATCAATGATTAAGCCACCAATTATATACAAATGCTTATAGGTTTTTTTTTTTTTTTTTTTTTTTTTTTTTTTTAAATGTTATTTTGATATATAGCAACTAACAATGATTGGAAAATCTTCTTCACACGTAACCCACTCACCATGTTTTAAAAATTGTAATTTCAGCCTCGAAAAAGTAGTCAGGTGCGTGAAGTATGACTCTTATACTAAAAAGTCACGAGTTTAATTATTTTTGATGCCTTATTGGTCGAACTCGTCACATAAGTTGTGCACACCAGGCCAACACTACCTAACAAACGTGTTGATACTTGATAGCCACCCTTCTATTAATGTTTTGCTTGATGGACCAAATCAAAAGAGAAATACAATTTCTTGTGCTCAAAATGAGCAGATTTCTTGTTCACACTGATATTTGGTCATGTCTATCGAGTCATTAAGTCACTGTGATTTACATCCTTCAAAATATTCTGTTGATCTGGAATGATGATTCAACCTTTTGAGAGTAGAAATTGTATCATACTAAAACTTATATATATAACAATAGATAATATAATAACCGACAGGCTAGATTACAATAGATATCACACTACCCACTGTTTAGTCCCATTCTTGATACGTGGTCTATTAGGGTCGGTGCATTCAACCTTACCATTCTTGCATTAATAATGTAAGACAAACGTATCCTCGATATACGCTACCAGTGATATATTTATAATTTTTTAACGTTTTCTAAAATCACATAATGTTCACACACATTAAATGCTTTATGTATACAACGAAACTTCTATGCATGTGTGTGTGTATATACATGTGTATGTATGGCTGTCGTACATCTTGCTTATTTATAGTGGTACTACCACATGTTCAAGTTCAATTCTATTATTAGGGATCTCGATTTTTAGTATGAAATCGATAAACTCATTTGATAATATTGAAAATTTCACGGCTAGAAATTATAAAATTTTCGACCACTTGAAATTGATCTTAAATCAAGTCAAAAGTCTTGTTTCGATCACTTTTGGTATTCGAAAAAACCTTTAATTTGTTGCTATTTCCGACCACTTTTTACTTTCAACTTGATGTAAGATTACTTTCAGGTGGTCGGAAATTTCATAATTTCCAGTAGTATTTTAAGGGTTAGTCCACTTTGAACATAATCTTCACACTATTGTTGTCGAGATTCAAACCTTAATATCTTCTCCCGAATACTGTCTATTGAACCAGTAAACTAAGCTCGTGCGAGTATTGTAGTATAAGAAACTAAGTTAATAAGTGGGCTAATGTTGTATGTCTCGAATGACGTACGAAGAACATTAGTATAAGTGTGCTACAATTTACGTAGTTTGTTTTCTTTGCCGTACCATAAAAAAGGGTCAATGGATGCTTAAATCTGGACGCAGGTGTAATTATTATTGTGGTCAAAAAGTTAGGGTAATTAGCAGATCTCAAAGCTAAGCTCTCTGACTTGGTGATTATATACAAGTGGACACATGCAGATCTCAAAGCTCCTCATTTTATGGCTCTAATCTCATCGTTTTCCCCCATTCTCAGACCTCTTTTAAGGTTTTTGTCAACTTTGACTTTGTTGGAAAACAAGTTTTTGCTAAACATCACCAAAAGTTTAATTAATACAAGAAAGACAAATTAAATAAGAAAGCTTTAATTTGTCTCCATCATAAACGTAGGTAAATTATTCTCTATATACTATCTAATATCTTTAGGAAAATTCTATTTGCACCATCCATTTTGCTATTTACACCCCCTATTTAAAAGGTGTAATAACTTTATAGGTGGTGCAAATAAAAAAGTGCTATTTGCACCACCTCATTAAATGTAGTGAAACATTAATCTGTATTTTTTTTATTTTTATTTAATAATCAATCTCTTTATTATTATTATTATTATTATTATTATGTTTTAATGCCTAATTATTTTGTGCAATATTTTTTTAAGTTTTTATTTTCAATATATATATTTTTTAAGTTTCTTTTTTCAATACATCTTTTTTTTTTTCAATACATGTTTTTTAAGTTTATATTTTCAATACTTATTTTTGTTTATGTTTTAATTTTAAATAAAGAGAAATAATAATTAATTTTGTTATTCTAATTTTTTTTATAACTCAAATTTGTTGTATACATTATTTTAAATTGTTTTAACTATAAATTGAAATATAAAATGATTAATAGTGATATTTGAAATGAATAAATATAAATTGATTTTCTACCTATCTTTTTATACTGTAAATATTGTAATAATTTTATAAAGATATATGTGTGACTGTGGGTTATAGTTCTAACAATTTTGATGTAGTTAAAATTCTATAAAGATATGGGTTAGAGTTCTACTGAGACTTTGAAATATAAATTGATTTTCTACTTATCTTTTTATACTGTAAATACTGTAACAATTTATAAAGATATGTGGATTAGAGTTCTAACAATTTTGAGGGAGTTAAAATTCTAATCATAAAATAAGTCCATGCGTTCCTACACTCTTTCTATTTTGAATTTTGTATTTATGGTTGTCCTTCCGTCTCGGTAGAATAGTTTCCTACAATTGTGTATTCTTTGTAGTATATATTTCTCTATGTACTCAATATTACTCAATAAATTGATATTTTACCTATCTTTTTATATTGTAAATACAATAAATTGATTAATTAACAACTATATTCACAACAAATTAAATTAATTCAGTATATAGATAGACTCACCAGTCACCCAATAAATAAAATCCCAAATTCATTACTCTTTATACTATAATTTTCTATCTCGAAATGGATCAA